AATGCTTTGGAAGCAGTTCAGAGGTTTACTAAACCATTGGCCAGGTCGTCTTATGAGGAAACATTGAATAGCCTAAGTCTGCAGCTGCTGGAGTTCAGAAGAATAAGTGGCTATTTGACTGAAACATACAAGATCTTGAGCAGTTTTGACAGGGTGGAAAGGATGTTTCCTCTTGTAGGAGAATCTAGAATCAGGGTTCTCTATTTAAAAATAAGGGGTCGCCCATTTAAAACAGAGAAAATAATGTTCTAAGAGTTTTGAAATTTTGGTCTTCCTCAAAAGGCAGCCTTTGAAGAATCTTTCACTACTTTTAAAGGTATAGTTAGATATATTCTTGATAAACAAGGGATGAAAGTTTATTAGGGATAGGCAAGAATGTGCAGGCAAGCTCCCAAACCCCCAAAGAGCATCCCAAAATAAAGCAGGTGTAAAGTTTTTGCCCGAGTTGTTTGACCTTCTCTGTCCAATATACTTTTACATTTTCAGTGCACAGAGAAACTGTAGCCAAATGGGAGAAAAATTCTTCTGGTAAGTTTGTTGGATACCTTGTGCATGAATTGCAGAAGGTTGGTTTGCAGGTATAACAGGTAATTAAGAAGGCAAATGGAATTTTGTCCTTTATTACGAGAGGGATTGAATTTAAAAGCAGGGAGGTTATGTTGCTGCTTTATAGAGTGCTGGTGAGGCCTCACATGGAGTGTTGCATGCAGTTTTGGTCTCCTTATTTGAGAAAGGATGTACTGGCACTGGAGGGGGTACAGAGGAGATTCACTAGGTTGATTTTAGAGTTAAGAGGGTTAGCTTATGAGGACAGGCTGAATAGACTGGGATCATATTCATCGGAATTTAGAAGAATGATGGGGGGGTGGGAATCTTATAAAAACATAAGATTATGAAGGGAATAGATAAGATAGAAGCAGGGAGATTATTTCCACTGGCAGGTGAAACTAGATCAAGAGGGCACAGCCTCAAAATTAGGGGGAGCAGATTTAGAACTGAATTGAGGAGGAACTTCTTCACCCAAAGGGTTGTGAATCTGTGAAATTCCCTGCCCAGTGAAGTAGTTGAGGCTTCCTCATTGATTGTTTTTAAAGCTAAAGGTAGATAATTTTTTGAATAGTAAGGGAATTAAGGGTTCTGGTAATAGGGTGGGTAACTGGAACTGAGGCTATGAAAAGATCAGCCATAATCTTACTGAATGGCAGAGTGGGCTTGAAGGGCCAGATGGTCTACTGCTCCTGGTTCTTATGTTTCAGAAATTTACTTTTTTGGCAGGGCTCACTTCGCCCATCTGATGACGATTCATCAAGAAACTGCAAGCACAAGGTCCATGAGATTTCACGTTTGCTTTCTTCCATGGTTCAGTTTGTAATACTCTTGCCTCTGAACCACAAGATTCTTGCTTGAACTCTAACATCAGAACTTGAGACACTAGTTTAGGTTGACAATCCAATGCAGTACCTACGGCGTGATGCATTAGCAGAGATGTGGTTTTTCAGAAGAAAGTAAAGATCCCACTACACTGTTTCAAATGAAAACGTGGGAGTTATCCTTGCTGTTCTAGCCAATATCAGGTCTTCTATGTGCAAATTAGGTCCTCTGTTCTTTACATTACAACAGTGATGACTTCTTGGATTCTCTGCCTGTGTGCAAGTCCATTCCACTATGCCACAATCTTCACCACGGGTAGGATAAAGAAGCTGTTAGCTGAGAAGGCTAACTGACATCATGAGATAAGCTCTGCACAACAGGATATAAATGACTGGGAGAAACTAACAACTTCTAGTTCGGTTCAATTCCAGTTCCAGTTCATGTCTGGCTCAGGCTCTAGGCTCTATGTAGCTAAACATGTACTTAATCAAATGTCTTACGTGGTCCAACTAGCTGTTAAGTACTATTGAATAAACCAATGTTGTTTGTCAACACCAAACCCTACTTTGCCAAAAATTTTATGGGCATTCTTTCCCTCTTGGTATCTATAATGTAGACTAATACCAATAAGATAGATCGGTGGCTATGAATCTACCCAAAGCATTTCAGACGATTCCAGTGCATATGAACACCACAGGCCCAAAGCAGGTTCCAAATCCAACCCAGCCAGAGCAGGCACTGAACCCCATGCTATTGTCATCAATTTCGTCCATATGAGCCTTGCAGCCAACTGAGATAACCACGCTGCAAAAAGTCGAGTTGCTTTGGCAACAAACATTTATTTGCATGTTGTAGCCTGGAATTATGGATAATGATAGAGTATCAAATTGAAAGAAACATTGCAGAATTAAATAAATGTTAGTAGTAGGTCAGAAGATTGGAGAGATTACAAGAACAGCACAGAATAATCTTAAAAAAACAAAAAACAGGGAGAAAGCAGAGTATGAGAGGAACCTAGCTTGTTATATAAAAACAGAAAGGTAGAGGCTCTAAAAATATTTAAATAGGAAAAGAAGAATTAAAGTTGTATAGGTCTTTCAGAGAGTAGGTCTCGAACACTGATATTGGAGAAGAAGAAGAAAACAGTACGATTTCAACAGGTATTTTGTATTTGACTTCATTTCAGAAAACTAAGAAAACTTTCCAAAGATAGCACTGAGGAATAATTGCTCGACCCAAAACGTTAACTCTGATTTCTCTCCACAGATGCTGCCAGATCTTTTCTAGCAATTTCTGTTTTTGTTCCCAAAGACATTGTCTGTATCCCTTCATCTTAAAAGAGCTGGCTACAAATTGCTCAGGTTCTGGAAAGAGGAACAGTGGATTAGAAATTAAGAGGTAACAACATTATTCAAGAAAGGAGGGAGATCTAAAACAAGAAACTTCCAGACTTGTGTAAAATCTGTAATAGGAAAATTGCAAGAATCTATCACTACATTATAGCAGAATACTTAAAAAAAAAAAAAATCTAATCTGTGAGAATCAATAAGATTCTGTGAAATGGAAATCATGTATAACTAATTTAGTTGGATAAAGGGGTTATTTTAACACGTTAAAAGCAGATAATGTGGGGGTAACATAAACATGAATGAAGGATCGGTTTGCTAACAAGAAGCAGAGAGAAGGGATAAATAGGTCATTTTGGGGTTGACAAGCTATAACAAGTTGAGTGCCACAGGGATGAGTACTGAGAACACCATGTACATCAGTGTTTTGGATGAGGGGTCCATATGTATGGTAGCTAAATTTGCTAATGACGGTAAGATTGTTAAGAAAGGGGAGATGAATGAACGGGATGAGTGACCGCTTTGTGGAACATCTATGTTCCGTCCACAAAAATGGCCCTTGAGCTTCCAGTTACCTGACACTTCAGCATGTCACCATGCTCCCACATCAAAATTTCTGTCCTAGACCTGATACAGTGTTCCAGCGAGCCTCAATGCAAGATCGAAGAACAACAACTCATTTTCCACTTGTGGGCCATGTAGCCGATGGACTCAAGAATGAGTTCAATAACTTTAGAGCCTAATTCCACCCTTCCATGTGTTTTTATCCACCCCACATCCAGTCCTGTTATAACAGTTCGCTTTTAGCACAGTCACCTCTTCTCACTTACTGCTAGGCCCATTATCAATCCAATTATGAGTTGCATTCAGCACAGCTAACCTATTTTCTTAATCATCTCATCACTACTTAATCTCTCTTCTCCGGGGTCCGTCTTCATCTATTGACTCACCTCTCCACCACTACCAAGCTGGAGGCTTGGATCATTAAATTTATTCAACGCTGTCTTTCACTGTCAATATCAAGTACTGACAAGTACGCATCACTGTTTCAATAGCAATTGGGTCGAATAAGATGCAGCTAGTGAGAATTTCGACAGATAAAAATCATACTATCGAGGACTGTTGTGGCACAGTGGTGTCCCTACCTCTGAGTCAAGAGGTCCACATTCAAATCCCACCTGCTCTGGAGGTGTGTGATAACATCTCTGAACAGATTGTTCATAAAACATCATACTGTCAGCTTTGAGGGCCCGTCTGGTGTAGTGTTAGTGTCGAATTAGGAAGCTTGGGTTCAACTCCCACCCACTCAGAGATGTTCTGAAGATGTTGCGAAACATCTCTGAACAGGTTGATTAGAAAATATCTGACACTGCCAGCTTCCTTTTGCAGTGGTACTGTCCCTACCTCTCGACCAAGAGGCCAAAGTTCAAGTCCAATCTGCTCTAAAGATGTGTAATAACATCTCTGAACAGGGTGATTGGAAAACACATGATACTGCCATCTTAGGGCTCCTGCGGCACAGTAGTTATCTCTACTTTTAAACCAGAAGGCCTGGCTTCAAGTCCCACTCGGTGTGTCATAATATGTCTGAACAGGTTCATTTTAAAAATGAACATATACCATACTGCCAGTTATGCATCTTTTACAAACAAACCCCATTTCTGATATTAAAAAACACGTACATGGTGCAAGCAGGCTCTGCACTGAACTGTGTTTTCACGTATAGTACACAAACCTGAGACTCCTCAAAGTAGGAATTTCAGTACTTTGGACCCAGAATAGCAACGAGAATTACAGAAAATTAAAACACATCACTACTTCACTACCCTAACATAGAAGATTCTGCCAGTACCCTGTAATCGGGATATTTATTGGCCGATCTTTTTGCCGGTCCCTAAAACAATTAATCAGGTTCCAAAGCCTACTTGAGCGTACTAGCCATCCTTATTCATCTAAGGCAGGCCCTCTAGTGGCACAGTGGTAGTGTCCCTGCTGTGGACCAGGGAGGCTTTGGGTTTAAATCCCACCTGCTCCAGACATGTGTAATAACATCTCTGAACAAGTTGATTAGAAAAATGGGTTATTCAAGTCATCAGATTATTAAAATCAAGTTAAACATGAAAATAACTATTGTTTGCACTAGTAATTACAATTAATTAACTAATAAAACTTAAAAATTGGAGAAGAAGAAAAAAATACTTAAACAGCACAATTACTTTCTAGGATACTTTGCAACACACGATTCAAGGACAGCGCATATTAGCCACAAAGAAAACCACATACCAAGCTAAATGAGCAAAATGGGAGTCTGTAGAAGCAGCAATTACTTCACAATTAATTTTGTTGAAATCTTCTACACGATCACTAAAAGCGATAATCTCAGTTGGGCACACATAGGAGAAATCAAGTGGGTAGAAAAAGAAGACTACATATTTTCCTGTTGAGAAAACGAACAGTTAATTTCATTAAGATAATGCTGTGAATCAAAAAGCATAAACATGTTAGGTTTGTACAAAAGCAATAGCTGCAACCTACACTGAGAATGATGTGGAGGTGCCGGTGTTGGACTCGGGTGGACAAAGTCAGAAGTCATACGACACCTGGTTATAGACCAACAGGTTTATTTGAAATCACAAGCTTTTGGATATTGCTCCTTCGTCACTTGACGAGGTTCGGAAAGCTTGTGTTTTCAAATAAACCTGTTGGACTACAACCTGTCGTGTGATTTCTGACCTTGCCCACACCAGTCCAACACCGGCACCTCCACATCATAACAAATGTAGGTCAGTGTGTGCCAGGATGATTTCCCATTCCTCAAAAATCACATGTTGAAAAATTGCATACGAGAACTCTGTATTTTTAAAAGATTTCCAACTTACTATATAGCTACTGATCTCTAATAATGTATTACCAATCTACATATCCAATACATCACTATAATGGAGATATTTTACAAAGAAAGTTGGGGACTTTTAATCTGAAGAAGCAGGATGTCAGCACATTGACACAATTTTATCTCAAAACTTGGATATTCAGCAGAATTTGATCAAAAATATCTTCAGAGATGACTGCAAGATTATGACTGTCAAATCATTTTACGATTCTACCTCTAACCATCTGGCTCTCTGCAACAGGACCATGAGTGCCATGATGCATCAGGTATTTGTGATGTTCATCCCCAGAACAGATTGGACATCTGCATGGAGAATCAGATGCGACAGGCAACTGAATGCATGCTTATCCCAAGCATTAGTCTGCATACTTAGTCTGCCACTTTAAACAAGATGGAGAAAATTCTCACTTTACTGCACTTCATTGAGGTGTTGAGCAACCAAAGTACTCTCGAAATCTTGCAAGGATGTTTATTTAGATGGACCCGAGGAGGGAAAAATGGAGAAAAAGCAAATGGAAATGGGCATCTTCTCAAGGCACACTACTTCCCATCTTTTGCATCCATTTCCCCTTTCCCCAAGGGGAAATGGCCTTCTGCCTCAACAACAAAGTCTGCCCTTTACAGCATACCCAGCTTAGGCATATCCACTGTTAGAGCAAGAGAATGAGCAGCCTGCCTTTTTAACTTTGTTAAAGCTACAGCACCATGTGGGAATAATACAAAGCATAAAAGGAAGATTGTGGTGGATATTAGAGGTCAATCATCTTAGTCCCAGGACATCAGTGCAGGAGTTGCTCAGGGTAGCATCCTAAGCTCAACTATCTTAAACTGCTTCAACAATGTCTTTCTCTGTCACAAGATCAGAAATAGGAATGTTCACCAATGACTGTACAACATTCAGTAGCATTTTCATGCAACTCAGATACAAAAACACTTCATGTTCATATGCAGCAAGACCTGGACACTATCTAGGCTTTGGATGATAAGTGACACATAACAATCACACCACACAAGTGCAATAACCATCTCCAAAAACAGACAATCGAATCATAGCCCTTAATGTTCATGGCATTACCATTAGCAATCCTCCGCTATCAACATATTGGGAGTTACTCTTGGCCAGAAACTGAACTGGACCATCCATATAAAAACTGTGGATACAAGAGCAGGTCAGAGCATATAAATTCCACAGTGAAAACTCACCTATCTCTGCAAAGATTGCCCACTCTCTACAAAGGTTCAAGGAGTACTCTCCACTTGCCTGGATGAGTACAGCTCCAACTACACTCAAGAAGCACATCATCATCCAGGAAAGCAGTTTCCTTGACGGGTACTCCATTGACCACAGGCAACATTCACTTCCCTTATTAACAAGGCACATCAGCGGCAGTGCGTACCATTTAAGATGCATGCAGCAATTCATTTTTCAGGCCTGTAACCCACACAGCACTTTTCAGGCCCATAACCTCTATGACCTAGAAGGGCAGCAGATGCTTGGGAATATCATCAGCTACAAGGTCCCTTCCAATCCACACACCATTCGGACTTGGAACTGCATCTCTGTTCCTTCGCTATCGCTGAATCAATATCCTGGAATTCCCTCCTTAACAGCATTTTGGGGTGTTCTTACTTTACCCACTCGAATTATCTGAAGCAGGCCTATCAGATCCGGTCACAGACTTTTGTCAGTGAGGTGAGTGGTTGCAAGCACCTTGCGGGGGTGGTGCAGAGTAGTCAGCACCTTGGTTCTTCTGTAGCTCCATTCTTTTCTGTAGAATCATCTTGTGCAAGGCACAAGAGATCACAACCACTCTCAACACTCTTGCTCGTAAGTGCAGAAGCAGAATTCTAGATCTACTCAAGGACATAAAGCTCATCTTCAACAGCCCAATGATTTGCTCAAAGATCATTCTTAAGGTTACAGGCATGCTGTTGAATTTTTTTGCTGTGTCAATGGCAGGGTGCCTCACTGGGATCATCTACCAAGTCCTCAGAAGGCTATCCAAGTCTTCAGCAAGCCATTACTCACAGTTTGGAAGTTCCTCTGGGAGAAGTGATTGCTGCAAAATGAAGAAATCATGTAAGCTTCTAGAATCACCTGCACAGACATACACGAAAGCCATCCAGCAGTCACACAACGACTGTACACTGCCTGTGTAGAATCCCTTCTGATTGATAAATAATGATCTGAGGATGCCTTGATTCCCACATACGTATAGTGTGTGACATCCTATTCCTGCACAAATCCTGCACTCAAATTCTTGTCCCAGATGCCATAAGACCTAGGGGTCAAGAATCAGATCATCATTAAGTATCAGGGCAAAAATTGCAAACCCGAGTAGATGTTATCCCTGAATCAAGACGCAAACAACAATGATGACATTCCTGTGGAAATTCAGCTACTGCAACATAAGTGAGAACTCTCTGCATACCACCAGCTTCATCAATATCAAAGTGCATTTAAAATGACGGCTTCGGCATGCATGGCATTAATCTCCTGGGAAATATATTTGCATATCTCATCATCACCCCTGGATAGAGATGAAGTGAGGAATTCAGTCCTTGACTGCCACTGGTAATGTCTGTCCATCTTGCTGTCTTAAAAAGGTCTTGATCCAGGATGTTGCAGATTTTTTTCTACTCACTCGCAGGAATGTGGTTGCCCCTAGCTGGCCAGCATTTATTACCCATCCCTAGTTGCCTTTGAGAAGGTCGTGGTGAGCTGTCAGCAATCATCTGCAACAAAAGCCTTAGCCTCCTTAAGCATTCTTGCTCCATCATATCAAGGAAGCTGATCTTGTCTGCATTTGCTTTGCTGGGGTAATTACCTCCCTTAAGCTACAGCTCTGTGCCCATCTTCTCTGATCTACAGAGTGGCAGGTGGCTGCGGAGAAAGCGGGTTCCATTGTTGTTGCTCCTGCAGTTGTTGGTGGTGTTGGTGTGCCTGCTTTTCTTGTCCCTTACAAGAGGTCCATTGTACATCTGCAGAACGTCTCCCAAGGCTGACAGCAGATAATGAATGGACAAAGTCAAGTTAGGTGAAGCGACTTCTGAAAATTCAGAACGCCCTTTAAATCCATTAAAACATGTTCACAAAGATAAAGAAAGCCAGGAGCAAGTTTCACTCTAGATACAGAAGGAATGCTAGGACAATCCGGTAAAGAGAAGACATGGGTAGGCTAAGGCATGTGGGCGGGCCAGAAAGCTAAGTTTTGTCTATTTCAATGCAAGAAACTTGAATGGTAAGGCAGATGAGGATTGACCAGCATGTGGGAATTTCTCAAGTGCAGTATATCATGCTGAAGTTAAAAGTGTGGTCATATCAGTGGTAAATACGGACTATCAATTTCCAATCTCTATCATCTGATTTTGATACCCGAGGCCCTCAAGAGAGGCTGGAGGCCTGTGACCAGCTGTGTGCCATATTTATTGGTGCTGGGCCCACTGTTTTTTGGTCTTTATATAAATGATTTGGATGTGAACATGGGAGGTATGTTTAGTAAATCTGCACATACCAAAATTTCTTGATCAAATGTCCCATTGAGTCAAGAAGCCAAGGGGTGGCAGCTGGAGTTTAATTTAGATAAAGGTAAGATGCTGCATTTCGGAAAGTCAAACCAGGGCAGGACTTATACACTTAATGGTAAAGTACTGTGGAGTGCTGCTGAACAACAGACCTTGGAGTGCAAGTTCACAGTTCCTTGAAATTGGAATCATTGTGTTTGGTACGCTTGCTTTCATTGATCAGTACATTGAGTATAGGAGTTGGGAGGTCACATTGCAGCTGTACAGGACATGGGTTAGGCCACTTTTGGAACATTGCATGCAATTCTGGTCTCCTTGCTAGAGGAAATAATGTTCTGAAACTTGAAAGGGCTCGGAAAAGATTTACAAGGATGTTGCCAGGGTTGGAGAGTTTGAGCTTTCAGGAGAGGCCAAATAGGCTGGGGCTATTTTCCCTGAAACATTGAAGGCTGAGGGGTGACCTAATAGAGGTGTATAAAATCATGAGGGCATGGATAGGGTAAATAGGCAAAGTCTTTTCCCCCAGGGTGGGGAGTCCAAAATTAGAGGGTATAGGTTTAAGGTGAGAGAAGATTTAAAAGGGACCTAGGGGGACCTAGGCATCCCTCCACCATGCCAATATTTTCCACACAAAGGGTGGTGCATGTATGGAATGAGCTGCCAGACGAAGTGGTGGAGGTCCGTACAATTACAATATTTAAAAGGCGTCTGGAATGGATATATGAATAGGCAGGGTTTAGAGGGATATGGGTCAAATGCCGACAAAGGGGACCAAATTTATTTAGAATATCTGGTCGAGTTGGACCAAAGGGTCTGTTTCCGTGCTGTACATTTCTATGACGACTCTGACTGAATTTGTTTCAAAAACAAAACATGAACTTAAAATTGTAGCAGCGACCATCTGACTACAGATGGAGGTTAGTTCAGGAAACCAATGCTGATAATTTCAGCTCAGATGTTATTATTTTATGAACTTATCTACAGACACTGAAACTCAGTCAGACATCAAGAAACTCGCATCATCTTAATTTACATTTGAATGCTAAGTTGCATATATTAAACGTGAAAGGGTTGCCTGCAACTATCCTTCTCTGAGCCAGACTCGGAGTACACAAATGAGTAACTCTATAGCACAGCAGGAAGTGGATTTATAACAACAAGGACTAGAAGTTCTTCACTCTCTCTCATTCACCTTTCAGCATTTTGAAAGCTGACTGCTGATAAAGCAGATATAACAAGGTGTAGAGCTGGATGAACACAGCAGGCCAAGCAGCATCAGAGGAGCAGGAAAGCTGATGTTTCAGGCCTAGACCCTTCTTCAGAAATGCTTTCAGGTCTGGGAGACGGAGGCTCTGAGCTGGGGTAGACTTGATTGTAGTGCCAGGAGACGCCAGCGCATTGCTGCGAGTGTGTGTTTCAGGAGTCGCAGGGAGAAACGTTTCTGAAGGACCTCAATGTTCTGAATGTAGACATTGTCGCGGTTGGGGCCAAACTGGGAAGGCCTAAACGTGGACTGTAGTCCATTGGGGATGATCCGGTTCCGTAGGCATGTACTAAGAAAGGTAATGTGGCTGTCGTACCTGGTTTGCTTCAGGACGTGGTCGAGCAGTTTCAGGGCCGAAGAGATTACGAGAGAGTTGCAGTGGGAGAGAGATCCACTGAGGTCTTTCCGGAAAGAGGAGGGTAACTTCTTCAAGGTAGGCATCCTTAGAAGAGGCTTCGCAGGGAGGTTCAAATTGTTTCAGCGATAGTAGGAACTTCTTCAGAAAGGGTCTAGGCCCAAAACGTCAGCTTTTCTGCTCCTCTGATGCTGCTTGGCCTGCTGTGTTCATCCAGCTCTACACCTTGTTATCTCAGATTCTCCAGCAAGGGCAGTTCCTACTATCTCTGCTGATAAAGCAGATTGGAGAAACGTAAATTTACCAAGAACTCAAGGTTTCTTCAGAATTTGCTACTGCTGAGGATTCCAGGCAGTAGCAAAACAATTTTTCTCCTTCTTTCACTCCAGGAAAGCTTGTAATTGATACTCAGTTAAAATAGTCAAAATTAAGGTGTGATGTAGCTGTGTACTAAAAATAGTTTTAAAATCTGTTGTAATCAACTGAGGGTTAAAAAAAGGGATTTGATTTGTAGCGCCTCGTCCAGTTGTAATAAGCAGAAGTCAGTGTGTAGCTGCTGCCTCTGCAACGCATCAACAACTTTATGCCTGTTAAACAGCTCATAAATCCACCCAACCTGTCAAGTTATTACGAAACTTACTTAAAATTTAAAACATTGTAACATTATTTTTACCTCTGTATTTAGACAGTTTAAGTTGCTCAAATTGCCCATTTGGCATCACAGCAGTGGCTTCAAAATCAGGGGCTAGCTTCCCAATCATAGCTTTCCCAGCAGTCATTCTGAATTAATCTGAAAAATAATTATGTTAAAATATAGGTGTGCCTACGTCAGCCCAGTGCATTAAAAAGTTTATGTAAACTATATTCTAAACAAATATATATCATTTAACTACAGAGATTCAACATTCTGATACCATAAAGTCTGACAACCCAGTACATGGGGACTTTTGAAAATGGTCCAATTGGCCTCATGAAAACTAAGTTGTCAGTTTGATTCAGTGGCTTCACTTTTGCACTGAAATCAGAAAATCAGGCAATCCCAATCTAGAATTTTAATATATAATCTATTTGGACTAGTATAGTAAAAATCTCCAAAATAAAAGTGAGATAGATTTAACAGGAACTCTGCCTGACATACAAGATCCTAAGACATGTCTTCCCGGTGTTCTAGCCAAGACTCATGCCAGAAAAGGAACATGAAATAACTGCACAGAGGCCGGTATCCCGTCACCAAGTCAAGCTTTTTTTTTTTTTGTGCATAGTACACTGGCTGCGGCTGGCCAGCCAGCTCACAGTCAGTTCCCTAAATTGAGGAGATTCTAAATCTCATATTTATATTGGTCAGCCAGAGTTCCTGATTGGGGCTGTTAACGTGGGCCAATCAAGGACCTCACAGTCAACAAGATCCATCGGTTCCAATCAGTGCATCCCTCTACCATGCCACCGCCCTCCTCTCACACTCCCCCTTCAAAGTCTAGAGATGTAGGCCTGGTCTTTCTCTTGTAGCTTTTTCTGCACCCAGGTCTGATTCCTCCAATTCGGACTCTTGACACTGGCAGCATTTATAGGACCGTAGTCTGTCTCTTGCGTCTGGAGCATTTCAGGAGAGTTTCCTTGTCTTATTCTGGCGGTAGTGGTATCAAGGCTGCATCCATCTTAGACTCCGAAGTTTCCATGACACCAGACGAAGGGGGAGAAATCTCAGTTTCTTACAGGCCTTTTGGCTGTTCCGAGGAGCCTGGTATGTTTGGTTCCTGACTGTTTGCAAGGTAACAGCTTTCAAGTGATTCACATGTTTATTCAGGACTGCCTCACCTAACCAACTTTTCTAAGTCATGGGACCCGATCTTGCATCAACCTCACCTCGTACCCATACAGGGCCACGTCCATGGTTCTGGCACCAAAACCTTTGTTCCCTGAATTAAACTGTCTCTGCCGGTTTGAGGCACATAGCCAGCATTTACGTTTCTGCTGCCGTTTCTCCCTTGCAGCCCCACCTCTCCCCAGGTCTGGGAATATCAGGTTTAACCTCGCGCAGAGTCTTCTCCCCATCAACTGTGCTGGAGATATCCCTGTCTTGTGAGAGGGGTGGTCCTATAAACCAACAGGAACCAGGCCAGTTTGGTATCAAGTGACATTGTAGGCAGCTTCTTCAAGCCTGCCTTCAACATCTGGACCACACTTTCTGCCAGACCATTGGATGGTTGGTGGTATGGAGCTGTCCTTATGTATCGAATACCGTTTGACTTCAGGAAATACTCAAGTTCCCTGCTGATAACATCCTTTTATCCGTGACCAATACTTCTGGGAGTCCACATATCGAGAACGATGCTTGCAGCTTTTCAATGGTCATCCGACTTCGCCAAACAAACTTTATGCACGTCACAACGACTAGGAACATTGAGCCCACGAAAGTACCAACACAGTCAACATGCAACTGAGTCCAGGGTTTGCCGAGCCACTCCACAAATGTTGGGTTGCTGCTGGTGGCACTTTCTGTCCTTGTTAGCACTCTGGGGAAATGCCCCACCAACACAGCTATGTTGGCATCCAACCCCGACCACCAGATAGCTTCTTGCTAGCATCCTCATCCTGGAAACCCCTGGATGACCCTGGAGGAGTTTGGCCAGTATGTGGTGGGGACCTTTACTCAGGACAATCACCCTTGCTCCCCAAAGTAATATGCCGTCCTCTATGGTGAGGTGGTCTCGCTGGGTCCAGAAAGGTTTCAATCTGGGTTGCAATCGTCCCTCTGTCTCCTCCGTTACCACCAAAGCTGTTTACGTTTTACTAGGACAGGATCTTTGCGTCCACAGTCAGATATTGTCAGCAGTAACCAGAAGGGTGTCCAGAAAGTTTAATACCAGAACGGACTTTTCCAGGGGAAGCACCACCAGTGGAGTATCTGCCAGTGGGAGGCAGCTCAAGGCATCCGCATTAGCCATTTGGCTTCCTGGATGCTGTTCTAACTCGTACTTGTACGCACTGAGAATAAAAACCTACTGGATGCTATGGGTGGCACCGCCTTGTCATCTTTCAGCAGCCCCAGCATGTATTTGTGATCTGTTACTATGACAAATTCCCTTCCATAAATGTACTGTGGAACTTCCCCACACCAAAGACAACCACCAAACCTTCATTCTCTATCTGGGCATATTTCCATTTGGCATCAGACAAAGTCCTAGAAGCATACACTATTGGGCATTCATGTCCGTTGGGCCACCAGTGAGTCAACACTACTCCAATACTGTACAGGGAGACATCGCACGTCAGCACTACCTCTCTCTTCGGATCATAGTGAGCCAACACCTTAGATGACAATTGCTTCTTTCTCACTTCCCTGAAGGCTACTTCTTGGCTACGCGACCATTTCCAAGACTGACCCTTTCTCAATACAGGTGTAAGAGTGCCAAGATGGAGGCCAAGTTACGTATGAAATTTCCGTAACAATTCACTAACCCAAGGAAAGACTCAAGCTCCGGTACAGATGCTGCAGCCGATATTCCTTTGATGCCCTCACTTTATCTTCCAACAGGTATAACCCAGTTTTGTCAATTCTGTAATCCAGGTAGGTCACGTGGGGCTCCTGGAACACATTTTTCCCTTCTAAGGCATACGCCCGCCTGGGAGAAATGTTTAAGCATCATGTCCAAGTTCTCCAAGTGCTCTTTATCGGTCTTCCCAGTTATCAGCACATCATCCAAAAGGTTCTCCATGGTCCACTGGAAAAGGACATAGGCTGATGATACCCCAAATAGCAGTCTTATATATTAGTATAAACCTTTATGGGTGTTAATTTTGGCATACTTCTGGGACTCCTCATCCAGTCACAATTGCAGGTAGGCATGGCTCATGTCCAGCTTTGTAAATGACAGCCCCCTGCCAATTTTGCATATAAGTCCTCTATGAGAGGGATTGGGTTTACTGTTTGCTTAAAATCCCCACAAAGGTGAACTGAACAATCAGGCTTCACAAAGCGGTACAACCGGTGCTGCCCATTCCGCAAACTGCACTGGTTTGATGATTCCTTCACTCAACAGCCTCCTGATTTCCACCTTGCCCACAAGGCAAATGGCACTGGGCGGGCCTTGCAAAATCATGCAATTGCTTCCTGGTCAACATGTAAAGTAGCTTTGACCCCTTTGATAGTCCCACACCCTTCCTGAAAAACCCAGGAGTTTTCCACTAGGACTTCACTGAGGCAGCTATTTTCTTGGGCCCAAGCTTCTTACTACTAGTGGTAACTGCACCAACTGCTTCTCATAGGAGACTGGAACTGAAGTCATACCCTTAATTTGCAACAGTTCCCTAGTAATACGTTCAGTCTGGCTGAGGTCTTGCGCAAATGTAAGGGTTTGAGACCCAAGCAAATCTTGTTAAAGACAGGTTCTGCAATCACAGATATAGCTGCGCCGGTATCAATCTCCAAGGGAATTGGGTGACCATTTAACCAAACGTTAATTTTAATCAGTTCTGATTTAGATGTTGCTAAGCAATTTAACTGTTCCAAACCATATGTGGGGGGACTTTCTAGGGTGTACGCTCTCCTGGGTGCCAGCCTATGAGTTTTCTTACTCAGATCAGGCCTTGTAAGACTCCTTGGCTGTCTCGAGTCCGCATACCAGCAGCAACAACAATGACTTTCCGATCCTAAAGAACTTTTTAGCCACTTGGATGAGGCTTGGCTTTGTTGTGGGGTTCTGACGTAGGCTGGCCTAGACTCCCTCTGCTCAGGATATGCCCTGTGTGAGGCTCTGCGATTGCCTACACTCAAGTGGTGCTCCTCATGCTTGGTTGGATGGGGAGGATATCCACTTCTATTGGGGTGCCTGTAGTTCCCATGTTCCACTTGCCACATTTTCTAATGGCAAAGCCGGTTGTAGTGCCTGTTTTAAGTCCAGTTGGGCTTCAGCTAGTAGGCGCTTCCGCATGGTTAGGTCATTAATCCAAGATACCGAACAGTCTCTCAGCATCTCATTCAGAGTTAACCCAAAATCACATGTCTCTGCCATTCATCTTAACCTCGTCAAAAATCCCATTATGGATTCCCCTGGTTCTCTAACAGCTGAATAAAACCGTTAGCATCTCGGGATTAGAGGAGGGTTGGGGTCATAATATTCCTTAACCAACGTTGTTAACTCTTTGAAGGTTTTAGTGTCTGGTGCCTCTGGGAAAATTAAGCCCCCTATAACTGAAGATGCTGCAGGTCCACAAGCAGTCAGAAGGATTACTCGTTGCTTTTCATCTGCCCGGAAAAAATACCGCAATGTTTCCACATACTGGGTCCAGTCTTCAACGGCAGAATCAAACGAGTCAAGTTTCCCAAATAAAAGCATGATGCCAGAAATGCTTACCACCAACTCCAAGGTGACTGTTGCGAGTGAATGTTCTCAATGCACGTACTGTTTTCTCCCGTCACCACTGAAGAAACTGCACAGAGGCCGTTATCTCGTCACCAAGTCTCCCTTTAACTACTTGCGCACAGTACACTGGCTGTGGGCCAGCTTGGAGTTAGTCACCTGAACTGAGGAGATTCTAAATTCCCTGTTTTTTCTCCTTTTAGATAGCCGAGTCAACAGCTCAGTCCAATTTGAGCTTCTTCCTCCACAGTACGCTGGTTGTGGCCAGTCAGTTCCCTGAACTGAGGAGATTCTAAATCCCCTGTTTCTACTGGTCAGGCACGGTTCCTCATTGGCCCAGGTTAACAACTCCAATCAAGGACTTCACAGTCAACAGGATCCACCTGGTTCCAATTACTACAGACCACCTTCCCAAAGTTCCTGCAACGGAGACTTTAACGGCATCTGCTGTTGGAATTGCATTTTTACATTCTAAAATATGAAAAACATTGCCAGTTGTTGGAAGTCCAAGCTGCTTGCAAGACAATGAGGGAAAGGGCATATGTGACCTGAGCGAAGAAGAACATTATTTCTCTTTAACTAATCAAATTGAAGGATTGAGAAATCAATAAACCACAGAAAAGGAGACATACAGGAAATTCATTACCAAATCAGGTATCGATTAAGCAGTGTTGAATAAAGAGAGAAAAGGTATAGAAAGAATTATACTATCTTCAACTGTTTCATCAATGACCTCCCCTCGGATCAAAGGTAGAATGATCATTGTTTCATGCTCTTCAGATACTGAACCAGTCCACGTGCAAATGCAGCGAGACCTGGACAATTTCCAGGCTTACACAAAAACAGAAACTGTTGCAAAAGCTCAGCAGTTCTGGCAACATCTGTGGAGAGAAATCAGAGTTAACGTTTCAGGTCAAGTGACCCTTCCTCAGTACTGGGTTCTACATGATAGACTTCAGAAATTCACCAAGGCTTCTTAGACTGCACCTTCCAAATACATGAGCACCACCATCTATCAGGAGATACATAGGCACACCACTGGCTGCAAGTTCTCTTCCTAGCCACACACCATCCCAACTTGGAGATACACCATCATTCCTTCACTGTCATTAGATCAAAATCCTGGAACTCACTCTCTAGCAACAGAGAGTGTACTTGTATTCACAACGACTCCAGCAGTTCAAGAAAGCAGTTCAACACCACTTGCTCAAGGATAATAAGGGACAGACAATAAATGCTCACCAGCCACTGAAGCACACAACCCCTGGATGAAATTTTTAAGAATTACAGGAAACAAAAATTTTCCAGGTGCAATTCAGGCAGTGGGAACAGATTTTGGTGCCTGGAAGCTCCGGGTGACAAATCAAGAGGAAAGTGGGATTACATTCTAAACAGGCCAAGAAATCTTCCCTGCCTGGCTGGATGCTGCAGCAGTCACAGTCTCCCCCCCCGCCCCCCCACCTTTACAGAAGTTCCCCTCCTACAGTTATGTCCTGACTGCAAAATCCACTTTTAAATTTTACACTTACCTGTCCACTTTGACATACCCTCTCCCTTACCTCACTTCCACTGTAGCACGTTGCTTCTTTCAAGTTCAAAGGCCTTCAAATGGCCTTCTAACAGAGCCCACCCACCATCCTTAAATGGACAGAGACTTTGGCTTCCAACTATTAACTGGTCGAGCGTGGACAATCATAATAGGTTACTGCTTCCTATGCACAGTCAAGCTTTGTGACCTACATTTCAACACCACAGCAGGATTAAGAAGTCCATAAAGAAAATCCTGCCCCGCATTTCAGACCTTTTCAGCTGTGCTAGGAGGGAACCTCATTCTCATGGAACTCCCTCTGGATTGTCCCCATCACTCAGTAGCTGTTGCTACATGTTTCCCTACATGTAGACCCTTCTACCTCACCACCTAACCCATACAGAGTGCCAATCTTGAATTGGTGCCTGGGGCACGTACAGCAACTGACAAAGCAGTCTCGGAAGGACTGTTCTCCTGAAGTATTTTGTACAGCAAACTCTTACTGTCTAGGACCTAAATGAAATATCAAAAGGATAAGAGTTAAGTTGACAAGTACAAAATAGACATTTGCAGTTAACAGCTTTGAGAAAGTAACTTAAAATGTGCAGCTTGTGCAAATTTGTTGACTGAATGTTAGGATATGAGAAATATGCAGACACTACTCAGTTTTAGCCTCTCTATCCAGATGATTATGACTGCCAGAGCTACTGATCTACAGGGCTTTTACTGCTTTCATTAAAGCAATAATATTGTTAACTCTTCTTTCAATATTAAGTATGGTTCCAGCATTGTGACCTTCTTTGAGAGGGGAAAGTTACAGATTGAACGGCAAAAATTAAGTAGAGGTATGTTGGGTTCATGCATATAGTATGTGGTGGGAACTCGGGAAGAAACAAAGTATAACAAGGATGAGAATGTGATAAATGGCAAGTAAAATGTGAATTTTAGAAGGAATGTTAGGAGCACCTGGTGCTTATATAAGTGGTAGGGATTGAGAAGAGATTCCGGTTCATGTGATAGTTAGCAAGGAAAGGAAAGGTGAGTGTACCTAAAATGGGGAGACTTTGTGGTGTGCCATTATGATTCAATTTCAAAGAGTATAATGAAGGGGAGGCAAGTGTTCAATGGTGAGAAAGAAAGGAATTTTCAAGCACTCTTGAAGGTTGGGAGGTGAACAGCTGTACTTACCCCTCTTATCTTGTGCCAATTAGCCTCTTTCTGATCGTGCTATCACTGACCCTGCTAGTCACCTCTGTCCAGTGGCCCTCAGGATGCTCCTGAGAATAAGACCTCCCTTAGTCCACTTAAAACCTCCAGGAGGAGGTCAGAAACGTGGGAGGTTTTTAATCTGCCACAAAAAAAGTCTTCCACAGCTGCCTAAGGGAGAAACCAAAGCAGGGAGTGCATCTTCAGTATAAATAAACATTAGAGTCTCATCAGAATTATGTACATCAAGTGAAGGGGTGATTTTTACTGTGATGGTGACCACAGCCAGTTAGTCAAACAGAAATGGTGCCAAGGCAATAAAAATCACTGGAGCTTCTCAAAACTGTTCATAAGGCTTCCCATTTAGCCAATCAATGCCCTGATCAAACTAAACAAGAGCCAAATCACAGCAAGCAAATGTTTTTGGTTTCTCTCCTGGAAAAGTTTGGACAATGATTAATTTTGACTTATAATAACTTCATCTAATGGGAAAGTAACAGCAACTTCCCCACTCAAATCAGTGTTAAGATTACGTGCCGCCAGTCAGAAACTGTTTGAAATCATTATCCACATTGGTTACTGACAGTGTGACTGGCTTCTATCATCAGTGATTCATGAATAACTATCAGCACGGCGGCAAGTCATGCATCGTGGGGTGAAGCAACCAAAGCAAAAGAAATAAGCACGAACTCTTCGGCCCATCCAGTCGGTGCCAGTGCGTTGAGCTCCACCGAAACTCCATCCCACACCACCCCCATTTAACCTCATCAGGAGTTCCTTCACTCCCTTTGCTCATGCGTTTATGCCGATCGCCCTTCAAACATTCTTCGTGATTCGCTTCAACCGCTCCCCCGTCCACATTCTCACCACTCTTACGAGAAGGATCGATCAGTGATTATAGTTAGTAGTTGGAAAAAGAGTTGACGGTTCGGATCGGTGATTAGTAATTAGGGACCAGGGCCAGTACTTAGGGTTTAATACACCGTTTTGTTGCAAGTCAACAGCAGAAAGCATTTTTTTAAATGACACTAAAGCTACATAAGGAGTCCTTGATTTTTTTTTAAAACCGTGTTTTGTTTTAGATAAAGGAATAGCCCTTTTTCTATGTAATCTGCCGGGTAAGGCTGGATGTTACCTGCCGTTATCACCAACCGCCCTCACTCGCTGCCTCGCGCCCTCCAATTACGAACCGTTAGACCCGCGAAAACACCTCGTGCCGCCCGCCCTAGCGCATGCGCACTCCACCACCAACAGGCCATCACAAAAGCACGAGGGGAACGCGCATGCGCCATCTTCCAAAGCAGGTGGGGTGGCTGAAGTTGGTGCCACTCGCTTCCTTACGCTTTTGAGTGCTGACCAGTTTTTTTTAAAAAAAGTTTTCGACCCTCTAGGAGATATGAAAAAGTGCTCCGTATGCAATTTTTAAAAAAATATTCTCAGGCTATCAAGGTACGGTTGGTGACACGTGACCCATTTTCCGGAAGCAGTGTGTTTGTCCTGTGATCGGAGAGTTTGTGAATGGAGGCAAGTGTGTAGTAGCTTGTTAAGGTTGATAGTCAAAGTGGTTGTAGAGAAGAGGGGGGGAAAAGTACAAGCTTGGTCGAAGTAGATATTTGGGGTGGGGAGCGATGGGATGTCATTACGATTTCTTAACTGTATGTATATCTTGCAATTTGAAGTAATCGTGATCAATCACCTTTGCTGCACACAGTCGGCGCATTATGTTCGAGCAACTTGTTACGGTATTATTTTATTAGTGATGTTTTAGCGATTGGTGGCCGTTTCGTTTTGAGGGTGGAGGAAACTCCATTCAGAATTGATAAGTTGTTGGATCATACACGAAGTATTTCAGTTGAAATAAGGATCTGATAAGATGTACCAAATGATCTTACTTTACCTCTTTCTTAAAAATGCAGATGCTGGAAATCAGAAATTATAAGAACTAGGAGCAGGAGTAGGCCATCTGGCCCCTCGAGCCTGCCCTGCCATTTAATAAGATCATGGCTGATCTTTTTGAGACGCAGCTCCACTTACCCGCCCACTCACCATAACCCTTAATTCCTTTACTGTTCAAAAATTTATCTAGCCTTGCCTTAAAAACATTCAGCGAGGTAGCTTCAACTGCTTCACTGGGCAGGGAATTCCACAGATTCACAACCCTTTGGGTGAAGAAGTTCCTCCTGACCTCAGTCCTACATCTGCTTCCCTTTATTTTGAGGCGATGCCTTCTAGTCCTAGTTTCACCTGCTAGTGGAAACAACCTCCCTGCCTCCACCTGATCTATTCCCTTCATAATCTTGTATGTTTCTATAAGATCTCCCCTAATTCTTCTGAATTCCAATGAGTATAATCCCAGTCTACTCAGTCTCTCCTCCTAATCCAACCCTCTCAACTCTGGAATCAACCGAGTGAATCTCCTCTGCACCCCCTCCAGTGCTAGTATATCTCTTCTCAAGTAAGGAGACCAAAACTGCATGCAGTACTCCAGGTGTGGCCTCACCAGGACTCTATACAGCTGCAGCATAGCCTCCCTCCTTTTAAACTCCATCCCTCTAGCAATGGCAGACAAAATTCCATTTGCCTTTTTAATTACCTGCTGCACCTGCAATCCTACGTTTAGCGATTCATGCACAAGGACACCCAAGTCCCTCTGCACAGCAGTGTGCTGCAATTGTTTTTACCATTTAAAACATAGTCCATTTTCCTGTTATTCCTACCAAAATGGATGACCTCTCACTTATCAACATTGTACTCCATCTGCCAGACCTTTGCCCACTCACTTAGACTATCTATATCCCTCTGCAGACTTTGTGTCTTCTGCACACTTTGCTCTACCACTCCCCTTAGTGTCATCTGCAAATTTTGACACACCACACTTAGTCCCCAACTCCAAATCATTTTTGTAAGTTGTAAACAATTGCAGTCCCAACACTGATTCCTGAGGCACACCACTAGCCACTGACCGCCAACCAGAAAAACACCCATATACCCCTACTCTTTGCTTTCTACTGGTCAACCAATCCTCTATCCATGCTAATACATTACCTGTAATACCGTGGAACTTTATCTTATGTAGCAGCCTTTGGTGTGACACCTTGTCAAATGCCTTCTGGAAATCCAGATACACCACATCCACAAGTTCCCCATTGTCCACCATGCAAGTAATGTCCTCCAAAGAATTTGACCAAATTAGTTAAACATGACCTACACTTCATGAACCCATGCTGGGCGTTTCCAATGGGACAATTTATATCCAGATGTCTTGCTATTTCTTCCTTAATGATAGATTCAAGCATTTTTCCCCACTACTGAAGTTAAGCTAACTGGCCTATAGTTACCTGCTTTTTGTCTACTTCCTTTTTTAAACAGTGGCGTCACATTGGCTGTTTTCCAATCTGCAGGAACCACCCCAGAGTCCAGTGAATTTTGTAAATTACTAGTGCATTTGCTATTTCCCCATCACATCTTTTAGTACCCTGGGATGCATTTTATCAGGGGCAGGAGACTTGTATACCTTTAGCCCCATTTGCTTGCCCAGCACTGCCTCCTTAGCGATAATGATAGTTTCTAGGTCCTCGCGTGCTATAACCTTCTTGCCATTAGTTTTCGGCATGTTATTTGTGTCTTCCACTGTGAAGACCGACGCGAAATAACTTTAATGTCTCGGCTATTTCCTCATTCCCAGTTATTAAATTGGCCTTCTCATCCTCTAAAGGACCAATGTTTACCTTTGCCACTCTTTTACGATTTACATATTTATAGAAACTTTTGCTGCCTGTTTTTATATTCTGAGCTAGTTTACTCTCAATCTATCTTACATTTCTTTATAATTTTTGTGGCTTTCTGTTGGCCTTTAAAGATTTCCCAGTCTTCTAGTTTCCCACTACTCTTTACTTTTTTGTATGTGTTGTTTTTTCAATCTGATACTTTCCTTTATTTCCTTAGACATACACGGCTGGCTCTCTCTTTGCCTACAGTTCTTCCTTATCACTGGAATATACTTCTGCTGAGCACTGTGAAAAATCGTTTTGAAAGTCCTCCACTGTTCTTCAATTGACCCACCATAAAGTTTTTGCTCCCATTCTACCTTAGCTAGCTCCTCCCTCATTCCTTCATAGTCTCCTTTGTTTAAGCACAGGACATAGGTACTGGATTTAACCTTCTCACGCTCCATCTGTATTTTAAATTCGACCATACTGTGATCGCTCCTTCTGAGAGAATCCCTAACTGTGAGATCATTAATTATTCCTGTCTCATTACACAGGATTAGATCTAGGATAGCTTGCTCCCTCGTAGGTTCCATTACATATTGTTCAAGGAAATTATCGCAGATGCATTCGATGAACCCCTCCTCAAGGCTGCCATGACCGACCTGGTTTGACCAATCAATATGTAGATTAAAATCCCCCATGCTGCTTGTTTATTAACGCCGTCAGCTTGCACCTGGCCGACGTGCTTTAAACTGGAAAAAATGTGCCCAGATCCATTACATTAACTAGAAAAGTTAGATTCTTTTATGTGTTCAGTGCAAAATTGTTGTACTAACTGATCAAGTTTGAATAATACTAAAGAAGTACTGTATTTTACTGCAATGCAGTCCGGACCACAGTGTATATTTTCTTTGTATTGCCCCATCCTATTTCTATTCAGTGCAACCATTTTTGAACTCAGCAGTAAATCTGATCAATATCATACACCATAAAATTAATTATCACTGGGTTGTCATAACTCATTGGGAATGGCGTGCTTGAAGTTGAGCCCTGCTATTTCTGGACTAGTCACAAAAGTTCAAGTTTTTGTTTTAAAGAAATATGCAAAATTGCCAAGCTATCTGATTTCCAGACCCAGGGTCCAGGTTTCTGTGCTACTTATTTACAGATCCATACATTCTAGCTACCGGTAAATGATTAAATTCAGTAAACTTCATAAATTAAAACTCTAAATTCCGTTAAGGTCCTCATTAATAATGCAGACAAACACTGAGGGGGAAAAAAAAAGTGTAGAGGTAAAAAAAGCAAAATATATTTTTGTAGTCTTCGATCACGAGATCGGTTTCGGTTGTTTCTTACTTGATCTGAAGTTTTTGTTGAGCTTCCTTTTTTCTGAATGGTTCAACTGATTTGCATGAGGCACAGAATGCCTGTTTCACTTATAAAAGGTCTCTGACTCATGCAATTCAAAGTTTCAATTTGTAGTATCTGCTGAAGGAAAGATAAACAGGTTTTCTTTATGTTTAAAGTGGCTTACTGTAGAGAATGGAAGAAGTTTGTTTTCGGCTGCTGTAAACCTGGTTTCTCTTCTGGTGTAAATAGCTTCTCTCTATCTTGCTCATAGTCCAAACTGCTCAGCTACAAGATGACCAATCATGTGGCTGATGGCAGGCAGATGACTTGTCATTGATAATTGGTTGTTAGTCCACACCAATCAGCTTCACTTATGAATAGTGTCTCGACTCTGGTTCATCTGCCTGTTGTAGGAACCCACAAACAAGATTCACACAAGGTATCAATTACTTGCTTTCAAAACTTGTAGCTACTGAAATTCCTAGTTTTCAAAATTAGTGCTTTCATATTTCCAGTCCACCATTTTAAAAAGCACAAGTGTAAAAAGACAGTGGTCTTAACAGGATTTAAACATTTGAGGAACCCTTAAGGTATCCATGTTGATTCCCTGCCATTTCTCCAAAAGGATGATGTGACCACCTGAAATGCTGATTTCCTGATAGCCCAATGCAGGAATCTAGATTTTCTTTTTCTTCCCAACCCCAAAAAAGCTTTGGTAATAAATGTGATAAGGATTAGAAATGAGCCTTACATTTATCGGTGGCAACACTAATTTTGATTCATTTTATTTACTTGTGAAAATTTGTAAAACCAATTGAATACCACTTTGTAGCCAAGACCTTTAACTAACACTGAGTTGTCTTGGAAATGAGACAGACAAATAAATAATCAGTATATTTGCTTTTCGGTTGCATAAGAAAGTATACACCACATTTTCCTAGCTACTATCAGTTCTGAAGAAGAGTCACTGAACTCAATGTTAAATCTTTCTCCCCACTGATTCTGCCAGACCTGCTGAGTTTCTTCAGCAATTTGTTTTTGTTTCAGATTTACAGCATTTATAGTTCTTTATTTTACTGAATGTGTCACTTTGTTTAGGTATCTATCAACCCAATTCAAGTTCTCTGATTATTCAAAAAAGAATAGAATTATGAAGTTCAGATTTTTTTAAGTGATTGTCATGTTATAAAATGTTTTGTTTCTTTAGATTAAAATGGCTATTTCTGATTATGTTCTGCTCCATACTGGACAGAAGATGCCTCTCATTGGGTTGGGGACGTGGAAAAGTTCACCTGGCGAGGTAACCTGAATGCCTTTGCACAGATAAAACTTGATTGCTTTCTCTTGAGTGGTACCAGTTATGTTTGGTTTTCCTAATGAATTGATGGCTCTAATTTGGCCATATAGTTTTTCTATTCTGAAGTATACTGTGCTCCTATTTTTCTCCATTTCCTCCTATTGCCTTCTCTCCCAGTGGTGGTAATGTTGCACTGGGACCATCCACTCATCAAGCCAAGTTGATTAATGAGTATTTGAGATGAGTGTTGACACGTTCATGAATTAGCGTATGTAACGGCTGAGACTGACCCTAAGCCCAGCTGAAGTCCAGATAAGCAAGTTGCCAGCAAGGCTAAACTTGTATCAAGTGGATTTGTTCTTAATCTCCTACCATGTTTAGGGTGCTTTAATGATTCACTTACTCTTCTTTTTTGCACACAATTTCTTCCCTATCTCATTTCCACACTCTCTTAAACAGGCATCATATTTCCAATGGCTAGAAACTGTCGCTCAGTGATTTTTGTGCTGCAAGATTTTGTAATTTACAGATTCTCAGCTGTCATAGTTCAGCTGTACCTTCTACACATTGCTTGACTACAAACTATTTTGAATGCTCGAAATAAAAACGTTGCCATCAAGTTGATTTAGGCTCCGAAAGTTGATTTACTTTATATGCTTGTGGTTTTTAATAAATTAGTCACATAATGTCTGCAAAAATTGCACTAAGGCTGTACTAAACCTGGCCTTTTCAAGCTGTACAGCACATATTGAATGTTGACTATCTTAATGTGTCTCTTATTCTCTCCTCTTCCACAATTCCTAGCACAATCTTTTTTGAAGTGTCATTTTGTCACTATTTACATGATGCTCATGAATTTAATATAGTCAAAAAATTCAGATCTTGTATCCTTAGTTGCAACTTAATTTTGTGTTCCAACCTTTAATTATGGCCCAGAATGGCATTCTGTTATTTTGGAATGATCTTGGTCATGTTAGCACATTAAATCAGTGGGAATGCCAAGAACAAAACATTTTCAGTAGCTAGGAAAAAGCACACTGTTCAGCCCTTAATAACAGATTGGCTGAGATCAATTAACACTGCTTATATTAATGTCAGAATATGGGACATTCCATGACTATACAGCTCTTCAGCTCGCTTGTGAATATTTAGTTGCCAGGAGAGCTTGTTACTTCCAGTAACAGGAATTCTAGCCCACTATCCTTCAGTTAACATGTCTTTTATCCAATGCACAATTTCAGCTTCTCTAGATCAGCTGTTCCAGCTGACTAGCATCTAGCCAGCAATGTGAAAAAATGCTCAGGTGTGTCCTGTCCACAGCAAGCAGGACAAATGTTACTTGACCAGATACTTCCCCATAAGTCTCTTGACCATCAGCAAACTGGATGTCATTTCTGAAGAAGGGTCTAGGCCTGAAACGTCAGCTTGCCTGCTGTGTTCATCCATCTCTACACCTTGTTATCCTGGGTGTCATCAGTGCTAGCAGCACTACTACTCACTGCTTGGTTTCAGCTCTATTGAAGCCATTCAGTGCCTGACCATGTTGCAGCTTGGTCTAAAAGTGGACAAAAATGCTGAACTCTGAGGTAAAAAAGACAACAAGGCTATGTTTGACCAAGTGAGACAACAAGGAAGCTCTCGGGTAAAATAAAAGTCAACAGGATTCGGAGGGGAAAAAACTCCACTGGTTTGACTTCTTCCCAGCACCAAGGAAGATGGTTGTGCTTGATGGAGACTTAAGAATTCCTCATTTATGTCTTCAGCCCAACTATCTGCAGCTGCTTCATCAATGACCTTTTGACTAGATCTGAACTTAACAAATCTTATAAATACTGTGGCTGCAGAGCAGATCAAAGGCTAGGAATTCTGGTAACTCCCCTCTTGACTCTCCAATACCTATCCACCATCTAGAAGGTCTAAGTCAAGTATGTGATGGAATACTGTTCACTTTGCCTGGATGGGTGTCATTCCTACAATGATAATGAAATTCTATCATCCAAGGACAAAATACTGCATCCACCTCCTTAAACATTTAATCCCTCTTCCAGCAACGTACTCTGTCTACAATGTGCTCTATGCTACTCACCAAGCTGCCTTTGACAACACCTTCTGAACCCACAATCACTATCACCTAAAAGGTAAGGATGGGAGATGCATGGAAAAATCAACACCTAGACATCATCCTCACTTAGTGTATTCCAGTTCCCTCACGAACACTGGATTCTAGATCTAGCCATTTTAAACAACAAAAGTATGTCTGAACAAATCTGACAGTGATTGGCTGAGAAAATTCTTAATCCCAGTCAATTATGGGAAGGCTTGTCATCACACAGATGACTGACCAACCAACAGCATACAATAAATGGGAAACTGACTTGTGTTCATTGTGTTATTTTCAATTTTCAGGTGACAGTATAGCAAACTAACTTTTCTCAATAGCAAAATATTGCAGATGCTGGAGATCAGAAATAAAAACTGAAAACACTGGACAATCTCGACAGGTCTGACAGCACTTGCGTGTCTGAAGCACAACCCAGAAGGACAAATGGTATACAGGGAATTCTCTACAGACTAGATAATTAATTTTGATAATTACTGGGGATTTTAGTTATAGGATCATAGATTCAATCCAGACAGTCAGAATGCAACTGTCTGATGCCACTGATTGCTTCTGTACATGTGTAGAAAGTGTCAGTGTCAACAGAAGCAACCCTTTCTCATTACAAAACAGAAGTAAAATGCTAAGTCAACAAATGGAGGGATTTGGCAAAAAGTGTGCCAGGCATTGGGCTTTTTATGCCCAATATACAGAGATTGAAGATAACAAGTTGTAGGGCTGGATGAACACAGCAGGCCAAGCAGCATCATAGGAGCAGGAAGGCTGACGTTTCGGGATGAAGGGTCTAGGCCCGAAACGTCAGCCTTCCTGCTCCTATGATGCTGCTTGGCCTGCTGTGTTCATCCAGCCCCACACCTTGTTATCTCAGATTTTCCAGCATCTGCAGTTCCTACTATCTCTGATACAGAGATTGAATCTGTTTTTAAAGTTAAGTTGTATGGTTTTTGAGGCAGACCCTACCTCAAAGCAGAGGGTAAACTGAAAATGTGACTAAAAGGAAAGCATAAGGTCTAAAGAGAAAAGAAACTAAACTGCCTGCACTGAAAGAAAATTGGGAACAAGCTGAAGTTGGGACTTGTTGAATGATATAAAAGGACAGCTGTGCAGTAGCAATTGTTGAGTCCATTGAGACAAATGGACAAGCTGAAGAAAACTCAAACAGTGGGAATAGATAGTTTCATAAACTGAATAAGCAAAGGGAATAAGTGCTGCAGCTGTTTCTGTCATTTGAGGATACGTGGTAGATCTGCCCCATCCAGGCCAAGTTGAGCAAGTTCTGCACACAGATGCCAATTGTGGTGACGACTGTGCCATAGGAATCTGCTTGTGTGCTGCTGTTGTCTTCCGAGAAGGAGACGAGCTCAAATTGCCTGAGGAAGTTGGAGGTTAAAAGACTAAAATCTAATCTAAAATGGGATCGCTAAAACCTGAGTGGACTGCTCACCCAATCTGTCATTTAATTTGCAGTTCATAATTTACATTTGACTAGAGTTTACCTGGTAATTCATGTTTAACTCATTACTTCTAGATAGTAAGAGTATAGAATCGACTGCATTTGGTGATGGCTTTGACTTGTATCATAAAAAGTCATTTAGCAAATAGCTGAGACTTTAAATTTCACTTTTTTGAAAGAAAATATGTCGCTTGTCTTTACCAAATTGTAACAACAAAGCCATGATCTTAAACTCTTCTCTGACAGCTTATAATTTATAGCATTTAGAATGCTAAGGATAAAGATTCTGTTTCCTAAATTTTAGGAGCAATAATAGGCCATTTGGCCCTTCGAGCCTGCTCTGCTATTCAATACGATCATGGCTGATCCTCTATCTCAATGCCATGTTCTTACTTTTTCTCCCTGTATCTCGTGATGCCTTTTAGTATTAAATAAAATTATCTCTTGAATATATTCAGTGACATGGCCTCCAAAGCCTTTTGTGGTAGAGGTTCATTACCCTTTGAGGAAATATTTCATCATTTCAGTCCTAAAAGATCTGCCTTGTGTCCTGAGACAATCCCCTAGTTCTAGACTCCCAACCACAGAAAATGTCCTCTCTAATCTACAGGTTTTGTGCCCTTTTTTTTTTCCAGAAAATAAGTTCTACTTTTCTATTCTTGTGACCAAAGTGAACAATCTCTCACTTCTCCACATACTCCATTTCCTAACTTGTTGCCCCTCACTTAACTAGTTTTTTATGCCTTTGCAACCCCTTATGTCCTTCATGTTTTGCATTCTTACCTAGCTTTGAATCATCAGCAAATATAGATATGTTACTTAGCTCCTCCCTTTTAACTATTCCACATCTGCCACAAAGTGTGTCTGATTCCTCTTAATGGCATTGGATATTAAAAACATGTTTCATGTAACAATTCAACCCTAAATTTTTTTGTACTAGAAAGGGTCTTGGAATTGTACATTCAGTGCATGAACATGTTTGCTGTTTTTGTTCAGGTAAAAGAAGCTGTCTGGAATGCAGTAAAGACAGGTTATCGTCACATAGACTGTGCTGCAGTCTACAACAATGAAGCTGAAATTGGAGAGTTCTTTAAGGAGCATGTCGGTGCTGATAAGGTATGATTTAACTATTTAAAGACCTGTTGATGAAGCCTACATTGCAGAATTAATGAATCCAGATTTGGGTTTATTTTTGACAGAGATTCCCAAACCCTGGGTGGGAGGCGTGCAACAAGCAATTTGGATTACAAGCTGACTACTTCATGCAGCATTGCTAACCATGGAACAGAGACTCAGATGAAGAATTTCTGTATTTGGCTGTGAAGTCCTATGATATGCATGTGCCAAATTTTTCTTATCCTCGTCCATTGGGTTTGGGAAAATAAATTCAGCTCAAGGTCTGATTGTCACCACTGAAGGGAACCACCATAGGTAGAAAAAACAGCACTCCCTGTACTCTAAGCACCAATCCCACCTTCCCCAAGTTCTGTTCCTCACCTTCCAAGCTCACCCTCAGAACATAAGACCATAGGATGAGTAGTCTATTCAGCCCATCAAGTCTGCTTTGCCATTCAACAAGATCATAGAAGATCTGATAATCCGAAATTCCACTTTTCGATACTATCTCTAACCCTTAATTTCCCTTACTGATTTAAAGTCTATCTCTGTCATGAATATACTTAATTACCCAACCCACACAGCGTCTGCAGTAAAGAACTCCAGAGATCGAATGCCCTCAGAAAAAGTTCCTCCTTATTTCAAGTCTATGAAAAATCTTTGTTTTGATGAGGTTTCTTGTCATTCTCCTAAACTCCAATGAGTGCAAGTCCAACCTACCCCAGCACCTCCAAGAGAATCCCTCTACCTGGAATCAACCTCAAGAACTTTTGCTGGACTCCGTCCAATGTTGGTATATCTCCCTCTTGATAAGAGGACCAAAACTATTCACAGTATTCCAGGTGTGATCTTGACGAGTGCCTTGTATAGTTTTAGTATGACCTCCCTATTTTTGTACTCCATTCCTCTTGAAACAAAGACCAAAAACAGTCCATTTGCACGGATGAACTTGTTGCACAAATTCAGATAAATGGTTTCCATCTAGCTGCTTTTACAGAGAAATTTTTTAACAAAGGGACCAAGGCTATCCCAGGATACGCCACATTTTGAAAAGACAAGCAGCATGAAAAAGGAGGATGGATTGCACTGATGATGACAGGTGTCATTAGTGAGAAACAATCATGGCTCAAAAAACAAGCAAGTAGAATCAATATGGGTGAAAATGGCAAGGTTCAGAAAATGCTGGTGGGAGAAGTTTAACGGTCCCTAATAGTGGTTAGGTTACTGATTAGAGTATTACATGATAAATTATTGGACAGCGTAATAAAAGCAATAGTTGTGGAAAACTTTAATCTTTGTGAGGACTAGACCAGTCAAATTGGCAAAGTTGGTCTGGAAAATGAGTTTGTGGAATACTTTCATAGTTGTTTCCTGGACTAATTAGGTACAAAGCAACTGTAAATCTATCATTTTGTACAATAAGGCAGGGTAAATTAGTAATGTCATAGTAAAACATCTAGGAGAGACTGATTATAATGCAATTGAATTCTACATTAAGTTTGAAAATTATGTACAGTAAGTCCCAGTTTCAAGTTGTCCAATTTTTAGTCATTTGTTTTAAGATCACACTGGGGCTGGTATTCACGTTTGGCATTGAGTTTTAGTTTAATGTTGTTTCATGCCTGTTCTGACATAGGGTAGTGTGACCTGATTGGCACCATTTTGTAGTAACCTTATCCCTCCAGCTACTTCTCCAGCTTAGTGTTTACTTTCTTACCTGCGTCTCAAAGCCACTGTCACTCCAACGGTCCTCTTCCTGTCTCTCCCCACTCTTCTCCTGAGCCCTTGGTAATGGAGTGTTGACAAGAGGGGAGGGTGAACAAGTGCAATTAAATAATAATTTGGGATTGTGCCTTTGAGAAGCAGGAGAGGCAGCAAGCTGGAGGATTGGTAAGTGGGAGATAATTTGCAAGTTTCACATTTTCTTTTTGAAATTTATAATAAAGTTGCTTCATTTATGAATGGGAACTTAGTGATTTTAAAATATTTCACCTCACAGGTTGTAATGTTCTCATTTAATTCTGATCAGAAAGGTCTCTAAACTGAATTAGTTTTTTTTTACAGTGGGAAAATCTGACTTGATGTTGCTTCATTTAAAGTTGCAGTATTCCAGAATGTAATTATAGCTTTAAGCTGCTGTTTTGTTAGGAAGCAAGTTCCAGGATTTTGACCCAGCAGCAGTGACGGAGCAGCAATATAACTCCAAAGTAGAATAGTGTAGACTGAGAGGGGTTGCCAGGTGGTGGTATTCCCATGTGTCTCCTTCTCATGTCCTCCTTGGTGGTAGAAGTCACAAGTTTGGAAGGTTGTGTTGAAGGAGCCTTTGGGTTTCTGCAATACCTCTGTCATTGTGTATCAGTGATGAAGAGTGATTGTTTATGGTGGTGGACAGGTCCAGTCTAGTGAGTTACTTCGCTTTGAATGGTGTCAAGCTTCTTGTGGTGTAGTTGGAGCTGCACTGAACCAGGCAAGTGGAGAGCATTCCACCACTGTCTTCTCTTATGCCTTTTGTAGATGGTAGGAAGGCACTGCGGAGTCAGAAAGTGGGTTTCTGACTGCAGAATTCCTAACCTCTGACCCACACTTGTAACCACCTACCCCACTCGTTCTGGGTTAATGGTAATTTTAACTGCAAGAATAAAGAAATCTTCTTTAATTTCTAAGAGGCTTTGGTGTAGCCTCACCTGAAATTTTGGTCCCCATATTTGAGAAAAGATATACTCTTATTGGAAGCAATGCAGTGAGGCTTACTATTGCTCTCTGGGATGAGTGTTGTCCGATGTTGAAAAGCCAAGTAAATTGGTCTATGTTCTCTGGAGTTCAGAGGAATGAAAGGTTACCTCATTCATGTTTGAAGACGGTTTGACAGGTTAGATACTGAAGTGCTATTACCTCTGGATGAGGAGACTAGAACAAGATGGCACAGTTTCTAGATAAGGAGCTAATCATTTAGGACACAAGTGAAAAGTAATTTTTTTTTTCCTTGAAAAAGGTAGTGAAACTTGGGAATCTCCATCCCAGAGGATTGTTGATGCATTGTCTCATTGCATTATTTAAGCTGAGAGACAGCTTTTGAGCCTCTGCTCATTGCTGTCCCCTGCCTCCCCTACAAACTCCAACTTGCAGATTGCATTCCTTGCCCCCCCCTCAAAACAGCAGCCCCCCCAATCCTGCTGGGGTCATCGTAATTTTTCAGCTTAAAAGTGGGATCTCAGTGAAATAATTTTTGAAGCAGTGTTTTAAGCTTTTGACGAAGCATTTCTTTGTTCTTGTTTTGCATAGAATGATTTATAAATTGCTAATAGGCCATGTGGGATTCTGGGCTTGGTAAAGGTATGGAGTGCAAAAACCAGGAAATTATGTTGGGCTTTTATAAATATTGGTTTGGCTTCCACTTTAGTATTGTCTGATCCAAGAAACCACTTTAGGAAGGATGTTATGGCATTAGAAATAGGGCAGAAAAGACTTGGGATAATGGTTCCTAGCATTGTGTGCATCAGTTACATAGGTTGGAGAAACTGACAGTGTTCTCCTTGGAGAAGGTTAAGAGGAGACAAAGTAGAGATATTGTCTCAATCATGAGATATCTGGACAGAGTAGACAGAGAAACTGTTTCATTTGCAAAAGAACTAAGATCCAAAAGATACCAATTTGACATGCATACATACATGGCAAAAGAAGCAAAAGCAACATGAAGAAAACTTTATGCAGTCTGTGATAAATATCTAGACTGTACTGCCTGAGACTGAAAGTCTAATGGAGACAAGTTTAAAAAAGGATAATTATTTGAAGTGAGAACACTTTCAAGATTACAGGCAAAAATATAAAGGCATGGAACTAGCTGAGTTATTCTTACACAGCTCCAGCATGAGCGTAGCAGGCTGAATAGCCTTCTTCTGTGACAACTGTTTGCCAACTTTTTCAAATTCATTCACAGAATGTGGCCGTTGTTGGCTAGGCCAGCATTTGTTGCCCATTACTAATTCTCCCAAAGGCCAACTAAGAGTCAACTACATTAACCAGGTAAGGACTTCAGTGAACCAGATGGGTTTTTCCAACAATCGGCAGAGGTTTAGTGGTAATCATTAGATTCTTAATTCAAATTCCACCATCTGCCATGGTGAAATTTCAACCCAGATTCACAGAATGGACTTCAGTCTCTAACTGACTAATAGTCTAGTGATAATGCCATCGCCTCCCCTATGTGCCACTTAACTCTCAGATTCTGTTCAAAAATCTCATGAACTGAACAGGGCTCCGTACAATGTATTATTGACTCTTTTCTTTCAGTAAATTTGTACAAAACAGAATATTATGATTGGTGTAATCTTTGCAAAGAGTTCAACTTAAATGTAACAGCGGTATTCAGTTTCAAGCTTCCAATATATGCTTGGCAAAGTTTTCTTTTGAGGTTATATAATAAAGTAACAATTAGGTCATGCTCCACTTTGTCTGTTGAAAATATTGATCAAAAAGGTTACATATTTGATATTCAAAGTTTAACTGTTGCATCAAAACAGCTGCCTGCTTTCTAAGATGTGCAAGTTCCAAATTCTAATCTGTTTTCGGTTTTTATTCTAGTGAACATTCTCAAATTATCTGCAAACTGGTTTCTGAGATGCCCCCTGGCTTGATATGTTTTCTAATCAACTTGTTCAGAGATATTACTACACAGTTCTTGAATCTGGTCTTCCTGGCTCATGGACACTACCATTGCACCACAGCCATTTCTTTTTAATCGGCCATTATCCAGATGCTGTCTTTTACTCAGGACTTTATGTCTGACTGGTTTGGGTCAACTTTTTTAAAAAGATACCTCTGTATGCACTTTTTTTAACATTTAAAAAGTACAAACCTTACAAGGTTAGAAATCTAAGTTTGCTTCAGTTTGAGCTTTGTTTTAAAATTAGTTAGATCTGCAGATCAACTTGTAATGGTTCAGATTTTAACTGGACCAATGAATATGACTGGCAGTCCAATTCAAGTACTCTTAACACATTGTGCAAATAAGTTGTCAATTCATCTGAAAAACAAAAAAGAAATCCTTGTTAATCCCATTCAACCATAAATTGACAGGTATGTCATATTACATCTGAGTTTGCTGGTCAGAACAACACTGCAAATGAATCAAGTAAAATGTTTTGAATATTTAGGTGACTTAACGGTACAGAATCATAAAGTTTATCACATGCTCAATGAGCCTGTTGGCTCATTGTATTTGGACCAGCTCTCCTTATGAACAATTTGCATAGTGTCATTCTAATTCTCCCCATAATTCTGCTCGTTCTTCTTTTTCAGATAACAATATAATTTTTGAATGCTTTTTTGATTGAATCCACCAATGCCACACTGTCAGGCAGTGCATTTTAGACTTTAACCACTTGCTGTGAGGCACAGTTCTTTTTTCTTGTACTGTTTTTGCAGCATTTTCTAATTCTTTTATAAACTTGCTTCTTTCTCAATCATATCATAAGCAAGAACATTTTCTCCCTACCTACTCTAACCAAACCCCTCAGGATTTTGAATACCTGTATCAGATCTCCTGTCTTCTCCCAGGAACACAGTCCCAATTTCTCCAACCTATCTGAAAAATTGGTTCCAGGGATGAAAACTTTATTCTTGTAAATATTTTCTGCACCTTCCCAAATATCTTCTCATCCTGCCTAAAGTGTGGCATGTGGAACTAGACGCAATACTCTGGATGAAACTGAACTAGTTTTGTTCAAGTTAAAATTTAGAGAAAATCTCTTTGATCTGTATGATATCTCTATACAACATGCATATGTAAAGTTAGAACTTCTGGACCTTGGAGAAATTTAATTTATATACGCACGTTTTGTTTGTAGATGGTAAGGCGTGAAGAACTTTTTGTGACCTCCAAGCTGTGGAACACTAAACATCATCCTGAAGATGTGGAAGCTTCCTGCTGCAAAACTCTGGAAGACCTGAAGCTCACTTACCTGGATTTGTACCTGATTCACTGGCCTCATGCTTTTGAGTAAGGCATGGTTAATATCTACTACAATGCCATTGGCCCTGGATACTTTGAGAATACTTCCTCCCTCCCAACGTTTTATCAGGATTATCTTTTGTTCTCTGTTTCATCCCTGTTGGGTCAGTTCTGACAATGTAATCTTCCAAACCAATGCTTCCAATATCAAATTTAAAAAAACACCATCCTGGAAATACTTTGCAATGAGGCAGCATTTTAAGGAAAACAACAGAGCTGATCTAATGTGTAATTTTCCCCTCCACTGTAGTTAACTGGATCCTCAAATCTATCAGGATTTATTCAATTTCCTGCACTTATGTGCTTGTCCCTTCCCTTCTATCCGGTTGTCATTATCAAGTTCCACTTGTCCTTCCTTCCACCCTTCCACCTCCCATATTCAATGAACCATGTTCTGAAATCTCTAGAATGACAGCATTACTAAATTCCCCATTCCCCTTTCAGCAGTCCAAAAAAAGTTGTCCCTCTGATATCCAGGTCCATGCTTTAGTCACTTCCAACATCCCCTGTCCTCCCCACAGTGCCTTCAAATGCAAGCGCTGGACCTGTAACACCTCTCCTTTTAGCTTCCCACTGCCCACACCCGCTCCCAATATCAAGGGCTGTAACAGATGAAATTACAGATGAAATCACAATTTACTTTTACCATTCTGTGTTCACTACAACAATGTAGGCTGCCACACATCATGGGGACCAAAGGCAGGTCAGATGATTGTTTGCGTTGAGTACATAAGCTGCAGGTCACTTCATTTTACTTTTCTGCTTCATTTGAGCCTGTGTCCTTTTTAGCCTTTTACACTGTTCTAATGAAGCTAAGCATCACCTCATTGTTCAATCACACACTTAGACTTAGGTCAACAATTTCAGATCATAATCACTGCTCACTTTGCTTTTGTACAGAAGCTATAGGTAATGTAAATGCTAATAGTAGAATCATTTCCTTTTAAATGTATCTTCATCTTTTTACCTATCCCATTAGCCTTGCACCGTCATCCCTTTTGTCATTGAATGTGTCTTGCCTTCCACTCTGCAGCGCTTCCCTTTTGTACTTTCCTCCTCTCCTTCCTTTCCCTGCCTTTGTTTTTGTAAAATAATTGTTCAGCACTAATTGCTGTCCCCTGTGCTCTTTGTACAGATGGAAAGCTTTCTTTTGACTACTTGTAGGATCATTGGCCTCTTTTAAAATGCAGGCCATTGAGTCCTGACTACAGTCCCTTTTTCATTTCTCTGGTTGCAGAAGCAGGTGTGTGATCAGTTTACATAGCCCAATTATCAGTAAGACTCAACATTTGACAGTCATACTAAGAGTAGCTTGTTCCTTGTGCAGTATTTGTGTTGCAGTTTTACTTAAAATGTTTTGCTGTTTACAGACGAGGTGACAACCCTTTTCCAAAGAATCCTGATGGCACAATAAGATATGATTTTATTGATTATAAGGAAACTTGGAAAGCAATGGAGAGCCTAGTGAAAAAGGGCTTGGTTAAAGCTATCGGACTCTCGAACTTCAACAGTCGACAGATAGATGATATAATTTCCATAGCTAATATCAAACCTACAGTGTTACAGGTAAAATCGTTTTTGTATTTTTTTTTACTATAGTACTATCAAGCTCAAAATACTGTAAATAACTCGGTTATTTCCATTATCCATCATGTTTCATTTTTTGCATATAGTCTTTCAGTCTTTCAAAAAATAGATCCTGTTGTTCAGGGGTGTAATGGTTTGAAAGAGTTAATGTTTAGGAGTGTCTGAAGCACCACCCACTTTTTATCATATGAGCTGAGGGTTTTGGGGGCATCAGGGGAACCATTTGCATTCTTGAAGTAAAACCTGCCACCTGGGGTGGTGTTATTCTCCACAGAAATGTTATAATATTAATATAACTTGTAAATATAGATGTAGAAGTCATATATAGCAACTACATAAAATACTACAGATATTAGCAATCTGTAATATAAGCAAAGTGCTGGAGAAACTCAGCAGGTCTGGCAGCATTTTAGAGGGAAGAACAAAGATAGCATTGACTGTTTGGATGTTATAACCAGGAATATTTAATTTTGGAGATAAGTCATATTGGACTCAACATTAACAGATGCTGCCAGACCTGTGTTTTTCCAGTACTTTGTTTCCGTTTGTACAACTACATCTTATTTTAAATAAGACTGTTCTCTTATGAGACAACCAAGAGGTTTTCCTTTACTACACTAGACTAATCAGGTTGTGTAGATCCCTAGTAGAAAAGAGGGTGGTGACAGCAAATCTAACAAATAGCTCATACAACCTGATGAGCAGTGGTGAGGATTCACCTTAGAATATAATGGCCAATGATGCAGGTTCTGTTTATGTGCCACCTGCACACTGGCAGTGACTGAGGTCTGAAATAGTTCTTCAGATGCACATGTTAAGAGGGATGTTCTTGTATGCAGTCAACTGCAAGAAGTGCTGAACATTCAGTCAAACTAAAGAAAAGAACATCCTAGCAAGATTCAACAAGACATCGATGTAAGCATTTCAGATTTAAAGGGCACACAACAGCAGGATTGTTTGGAATTTCTTGGACCTGGAGTATTGGCCGGTTGAAGGCAGTTACAGATCGCATCGGATGCGGGTGGTCTGTTGAAGCAGTCTCAAGTCTGCATTCAGCCAATTTCCGTGAGTGAATGTGGTGAGCAAGTAAATATACTTAATTGGGAGGGTAGCTCACCAAGGTGCAAAAGAAGCCTCAATACTTTTGAAGTCATACTACTTCAGGTATCTCTGGACATCAGAGTTCGTCCAAGAAAAAATAAACAGCGAAATTCACAGCTGACCTTGGAGAAACCTGTATGGGGAACCTCAGAGCATTGGCTTTTTAAATTGTAACCTTACTTTTTTTTGTAAATCTACAATAGTGAATAGAGTGGGGTCCTTTTTGATTGTGGTTTTATTGAGCTCTGTCTCTTGATTAAACTTTAAAAATATAAAACATAGGTACGAAGTTAGCCTAGAGCAGTATGACTGTGCTATTTTCTGGGCCTGTAGATTGTTAAGATGCAATGATGGCATTTAGTAGAGTGTGCTCTTCCTGTCAGATGTGGGTGATTTGGGGAGAGTTTCCATGTCACTGATTTATGTTTGCAGGAATTGTGTTTGGTTGCGAATCTTATCGGATTGCATGGCTTGGTTGGAGCGGCAGTTGGAGGCGATGAGGAATTTACAAGAACTAGGGAGTGTGATGAATGGCAATTGCAGGAAGGCATATAAACCGCAGATACAGGTAGATTGAAGAGGGGAGGGTGCAGAGTTGGGACCCAAGGTGATGGTAAGAAAAGAGATCCGTCTGAGACTGGTACAGTTTGGAAAAGGAACAAAGCGGAGAATGGAGGTAAACTGCATTTATTTCAATGCAAGAGGCCTAACAGATAAGGCACGTGAACTCAGGGCATGGGATTGGGATGTCATAATAATTACAGAGATGTGGCTCAGGGATGGACAAGACTGGCAGCTTAATGTTACTGGGTATAGATGCTATAGGAAGGATAGAAAGGGGGGGCAAGAGGGGATGGGGAGTGGTATTTTTGATTAGGGATAACATGACTGCTATACTTGGGGAGGATATTCCTAAGAATACATCCAGGGAACTTTATTTGGGCAGAACTGAAATAAGAAAGGGATGATCACCTGATTGGGATTGTACAACAGACCTCCAAGTAGTCAGTGGGAAATTGAGAAATAAATTTGTTAGGAGATCTCAGCCATCTATAAGAATAGGGTGGTTATGGTAGGGAATTTTAACTTCCAAAACAGACTGGGACTGCCATAGTGTTAAGAGCTTGGAAGGAGAGGAATTTTTAAGTGTGTACAGGAAAATTTTCTGATTCAGTTGCAAAACGTGACCTACTGTTGGGAAATAAGGCAGGATAGGTGACTAAGATGTCAATGGGGGACCTCTTTGGGGCCAGTGACCATCATTCTATTAGTTTTAAAATAGTGATGGAAAAGGATAGATTGGATCTAAAAGTTAAAGTTCTAAATTGGAGGAAGGCCAAATTTTGGCAGATTAAAGTTTGAGAGAAGATTTGTAGCTTGAGTTGTGGATGAGGTTGCAGATTTGCTCGCCAAACTGGACCTGATATACGAACCACTTTTTTAAAAAAAAAAAAAGAAACCGGAAGTAATGCCAACCACCCCAGCAAACTGAGGCATATAAATAACAAGCAGGACAGAACACCAACGCTTCACCGGAGGTGCACTGACTATGTTACCTAGCAGGGTGACCAAACGTCTGCAACCAAACACACCGGCTCAGCGAGCAAGTCTACAACCTCAATTTTGACAGTATTAGGCAAGAACTTTCAAAAGTTGATTGAGGGCAGATGTTTGCAGGTAAAGGGATGGCTAGAAAATGGGAAGTCTTCAAAAATGAGATGAGAGTCCAGAGACCCAGTGTTTCTGTTAGGGTGAAGGGCAAGGCTGGTAGGTATAGGAAATACTGGATGACTAGAGAAATTGAGGTTTTGGTCAAAAAAAAAATAAGGAATCATATGTCAGGTATTGACAGCGGAGATCGAGTGAATCCCTAGAAGAGTATCAAGGCAGTAGGAGTATACTTAAGAAGGAAATCAGGAGGGCAAACAGGGGACGTGAGACAGCTTTGGCAAATAGGGTTAAGGAGAGTCCAAAGGGATTCTACAAAAACATTAAGGACAAAAGGATAACTAGGGAGAGGGTAGGGCCCCTTAAAGTCGGTCTCACTGATCTATATGTGGAACTTCAGGAGATCAGGGAGACACTAAATGAGTATTTTGCATCAGTGTTTACAGTGGAGAAGGATATGGAAGATATAAAATGTGGGGAAAATAAATAATGACATCTTGAAAAATGTCCATATTACAGAGGAGATGTTGCTGGATGGCTTAAAATTCATAAAGGCGGATAAATCCCCAGGACCCGATCAGGTGTACCCTAGAACTCTGGGAAGCTAGGGAAGTGATTGCTGGGCTGCTTGCTGCGAGATTTGTATCATCGATAGCCACAAGTAAAGTGCCGGAAGGCTGGAGGTTGGCTAACGTGGTGCCACTATTTAAGGTGGTAAGGAAAAGCCAGGGAACCATAGACCTGTGAGCCTGACATCAGTGTTTGGCAAGTTGTTGTAAGAAATCCTGGGGGAACAGGATTTACATGTATTTGGAAAGGCACAGAGTGATTAGGGATAGTCAACATGGCTTTTTGTGTGGGAAATTGTGTCTCAATAATTTGAGTTTTTTTGAATAAGTAACAAAGAGGATTAAGGATAGAGCAATGGACATGATCTATATGGACTTCAGTAAGGCATTCGACAAGGTTCCTCATGGTAGACTGGTTAGCAAGGTTAGATCACATGGAATACAGGGAGAACTAGCCATTTGGATACAGAACTGGCTGGACGGTGGAAGACAGTAGTGGTGGATGGTTGCTTTTCAGACAGGTGGCCTGTGACCCAGCGGTGTGCCACAAGGATTGGTGCTGGATCCACTGCTTTTGTCATTTTGTATAAATGATTTGCATGTGAGCATAGGAGATACGGTTAGCAAGTTTGCAGATGACACCAAAATAAGAGCTGTAGTGGACAGCAAAGAAAGCTACTTCAGAGTACAACGGGATCTTGATCAGATGAGTCAATGGGCCAAGGAGTTGCAGATGGAATTTAATTTAGAATAACGTGAGGAACTGCATTTTGGACAGGCAAATCAGGGCAGCATTTATGCACTTAATGGTAAGGTCCTGGGGAGTGTTGCTGAACAACAGACCTTGGAGTGCAGGTTCACGGTCCCTTGAAAGTGGAGTCACGGATAGGATAGCAAAGAAGGTGTTCGGTATGCTTGCCTTTATTGGTCAGTGCATTGAGTATAGGAGTTGGGGGATCATGTTGCAGCTGTACAGGACATTAGTTAGGTCACTTTTGGAATAGTGCATGCAGTTCTGGTCTCCCTGCTGTAGGAAGGATGTTGTGAAACTTGAAAGGGTTCAGAAAAAATTTGCAAGGATGGTTTGAGGTGCAGGGAAAGGCTGAAAATGCCAGGGCTATTTTCCCTGGAGTGTCAGAGGCTGAGGGGTGACCTTACAGAAGTTTATAAAATCATGAGGGGTATGGATAGGGTGAATAGACAAGGTCTTTTCCCGGGGTTGGGGGAGTCCAAAACTAGAGGGCATAGATTTAAGGTGAGAGGGGAAAGATTTAAAAGGGACCTAAGGGCAACTTTTTCATGCGGAAGGCGATGTGTGTATGGAATGAGCTGTTAAGGGAAGTGGTGGAGGCTGGTACAATTTACATCATTTCAAAGGCATCTGGATGGGTATATGAATAGGAAGGGTTTAGAGGGATATAGGCCAAATGTTGGCAAATGGGACTAGATTTACTTAAGATATCTGGTCGGCATAGACGAGTTGAACCAAAGGGACTGTTTCCACGCTGTACATCTCTATGACTAAGTCCTGAAAGCATTTTACAATTCGTCTCCAAGCAAATTAAATTTTCAAAAGAGCAAGATTTAACAGAAGAGTTCCTTCAGGAAGATCCATATCATTTCATTCGAGATCTCTACAGATTATTGGAAAAACGTGACTGTTGTTTTAAAGTCGTAATTAGTCTTAGATTTACATAGCCAAAAAGGTTAGACTCTAGAAAAGCTGCTTAGATGGTGAGTAAAGTAGAACTCTGGAAGCAGAACAGATCAAACCTAAGAATAAGATCAACTTTACACAGAGCAGAATCCTTTGATTGTTGTCATGTACTGAGATACAGTCAGAAGTGTAGTTCTGCATGCTATACAGGCAGATCATGCCATACCAAGTTCATCAAGGTAGCAGAAAAGAGTGCAGAATACATTGTTACAGCTGCAGATAAGTGCAGAGAGAGAGAGATCTGAATTAACAATTTGAGGTCCATTCAGAAGTCTGATAACAGCAGCGGGAGAAGCTGTTCTTGAAACTGTTCGTAAGTGGATTCAAACTTTTACGTTTTCTGCCCAACGGAACAGACTGGAAGAGAGTACAGCTGGGGTGGGAGGGGTCTTTAGTATGTTAGTTGCTTTACCAAGGCAGTGGGAAGTATACGGGTAGATGGAGTTAATAGATGGAAGGCTGGTTTGCATGATGAACTGGGCTATGTTGATGACTCTGATGCCATGCCATGCTGTGATGCATTCAGATAAGATGCTTTCTAAAGGGCACCTATAAAAATTGCTAAGAGTCCTTGTGGACATGCCAAATATCCTTAGCCTCCTGAGGAAGTAGAGACGTTGTTGTGCTTTCTTGACTGTTACGTCAACATGGGTGGACCAGGACAGACTGTTGGTCATCATCACTCCCAGGAACTTGACACTGTCAACTATCTCCACCTCAGCCCCATTGATGCAAACAGGGGCGTGCCCTCTACTCCATTTCCTGAAGTCAATGACAAGCTCCTTCATTTTGCTGATGTTGATAGACTGTTGCTTTTTACCCCATGCCGCTAAGCATGCAATCTCTTTCCTGTTTTCTGTCTCGTCGTCTTTGAGATCTGACCTACAATGATGGTGTCATCAACAAACTTATAAATGGAGTTGGGACAAAATTTGGCTACACAGCCGTTGAGTGTATAACAAGTATAGTAAGGGGGCTGAGTACACAGCCTTGTGGGGCAATGATGTGTGGGGCAATGATGTTGAGGATAATGGTGGAGGAGGTGTTGTCACCTATTCTAGTTGATCACTGTTTGAGTCAGGAAGTCAAGGATCCAGTTACAAAGCGGGGAGCCAAGACCGAGGTCTCAGAGTTTAGAGATGAGTTTGTTTGGAATTATAGTGCTGAAGGTGCCTGACAAAGGTACCCTTGTTATCCTGATGTTCCAGGGATGAGTGTAGGGATCTGTTGTCAGTAGGCGCATTGCTAAGGATCAAGGCAATTTGGTAGGCTGGTGTTAATATGAGCAGGCTAACCTTTTGAAGCACTTCATAATTGTGGAGGTCAGAGCTGCCGGGCAGTAGTCATTAAGGCATGCAGCATGATCTGCCTTTGACATCAGGATGACGGTGGACTTCTTAAAGCAGACAGGGACTTGAAATCGTAGTAACGTGAGGTAAAAGATGTCTGCGAAAACACCCACTGGCTGCTCCGCATAGGATCTGAGTGCACAGCCGGTGACTCCATCCAGGCCGGTCACTTTCCTTGGGTTCATTCTCAAGAAGCCAATCTAATGTCTGCAGTGGTGACCATGGGTACAAGTGCATCCCAGGCTGTTGAGATAGGTGACATCATTTCACTGGCTTTCTGTTCAAAGCGAGCATAGAATGCAGTGAGCTTGTTGGGTAGGGATATACTGTTGCCTGCGATTCTATTTGACTTTGCTTTGTAGCCTGTTATGTGGTGTAAGCCTCGCCACAAACGATGGATATCATGTGGTTGGACTGTGTCTCAAGCTTAGTTTCATATTGCCTTTTGGTGTGTTTGACGGCTTTACAAAGGATTTCCTTTATAGGTCAGGGTTGCTCGACTTGTACGCTTCAGACCTGGACTTCAGTAGGCAGTGGATCTTCTGGTTCATCCATGGTTTCTAGTTGGGGTATTTGGTTATTAGGATACAAAATCCCTAAAGCGACGTGAGAAATTATAAATAAGTAAAACCAACGCTCCATACTAATGATCATTGGCAGTTCTGTGAGTTAAGGCAAACCCAGGTTCAAGCACATATTTATATGGGTTTTTGTGGGAATATGTCTCAAATAACTTGAATAAATCAAATCAAATTTTTGTCACATGATCTGAGGTTACAGTGAAAAATTTTTGTTTTGTATGCGATCCAGGCAAATCACCTTAAGTACATCAGGGTAATAGAACAGAATGCAGACAATAGTGTTACAACTACAGAGACGGTTCCGAGAAAGATGAACTTTAATAAGTTTTGCTTAATGCAGTGGTTGTTTGAAACAGATCTATTGCACTAATTGAGGATTGCATGTATTTGTCAATGGGCATATCACGTTTTAAGTTTGATACAAGAGTGTCACTATATAATTGGCATATTGTGGTTAATGAAATACCATCTTCAGTTGATAGCAGTGCAACAATGTAGTCAGGAGGTATAGCACGGCAGACAAAGGTATACTACAAGCAACTCTGCAACACAGTGTCAGATATAAGAGAGTTTATGCATTCATAGCAATCAAGAATTCTCACTTGAGCACGAATACGTGTTTTGACATTAATTATCATCAAATGACAGAAGGAGTCAGATTAGTCCAAATCAAGGAATGGCCAGTGAGAAGATCTTGCCGGGCTCTAAGTGTGTAGCAGAAACTAAACAGAAGACCAAGTTCATTGGGATTAGCTATGTTAGCAAAAGGAACGTTTCTTACTGGATTAAAAGAAGGGCAGCACGGTGGGTCAGTGGTTAGCACTGCTACGTCACAGCGCTAGGGACCAAGGTTCGATTCCAGCCTCGGTCTGTGTGGAGTTTGCACATTCTCCCCGTGTCTGCATGGGTTTCCTCCCACAGTCCAAAGATATGCAGGCAAGGTGGGTTGGCCATGCTAAATTGCCCATAGGGATGTGTAGATTAGGTGGGTTATAGGGGGATGATGGGCAGGATACTCTGAGGTTCGGTGTGGACTTGTTGGGCCGAAGGGCTTGTTTCCACACTGTAGGGATTCTATAAAAAAAATGTTTTCCACTGCTATCAATACTAAAGAGTTCAATTTGCAAGAATCAGCCATACTTGTGGCTTCTCTCAAACAATCTGACATCTAATTAACTTGAATTAAACCACTTGAATATGTGAAGCCACTGATCCTGGGTGGAGTGCAGTGATACAAATTCATAGATGTTAATAATGGGGAGGAAGCTTGAGAAGGAGGATAGATATTGTTTTCGGGTCAATACTGATGTGTACGTAAAGACCACCATTGTAATGTTACATACGTTTGGGGAGGAGGGAAGTCAGTTTAGGATCTTGAAGGAATTTGACCTGCCATCTGCATAGTTTTCATTAGTCTATCTCACACTGTCTCTTGTATTAATCTAACTTGTAAATAGTTGCTATAATGCATTAAACCCCATTTTTTTGTTTAAGATGAGCCTCTATCACACTAGACTAAGCAGACCCTGTTGAATCCTTCCAGAGAAAGGATGGTGGCAGCAAATCTACCAGATAACTCATACAACAGGATAAACAGTGGTGAGGATTCATCTTACAATAGATATCTTGAGCTGCCTTCTAGGAGATTATCTGTTTTCCATACTCTAGGGGTCACATTCTGACAAACATGTGGATGTATAGTTATACAATGCCAAATAACGATTCTCTGCATTCACAATTAATCACTTGGAGAAAATATCCATCATGACATATTGGTTAGCATGTAGCATTTTTTCTTTGATTCAAGACTTGTATAATTACTTATAAACCAACTAATCTGAATGATTTGTTGGTGGTAAGGTGAAGGAGTAACATTTCTGGTACTGGGGGTTTCCTGCAAATTACTGTGCACCTAAACAAAGGTTTTTAGATCTAACAATGATACATAAATCCTGGTGACGATGCACGGCTTAAAATATTTTTTATTTTGTATTTTCTTAGATTGAATGCCATCCATATCTCGCCCAGAATGAGCTGATTGGGCATTGCCAGAAGCATGGGTTGGTGGTGACTGCATACAGTCCTCTTGGATCCTCTGATCGGCTGTGGAAAGCATCAGATGAACCATTCTTACTAGAAGATACCAACGTTAAAGCTATAGCTGAAAAACATGGGAAATCTCCTGCTCAAATTCTGCTCAGGTACAAGCAAAGACTGTGTCAACCAATATTTGGAAAGATAAATCCACCAAAAAAAGAGCTAAGCCTAAATTAATTGAAGCATGCTGTTTTCTATTGCCATTTAAGGTGTTAAACGTTGAACTACATAAACTTTTTTTAAAAAATACTCTAACTAAAAAGCAGTAAGGAGCAGCAAATGAAAGGAGAGTGAACTGGCTAGTAATATGAAAGAAGATTGCAAGGGTTCTTTTTGATTTCTAAAGGGTAAGAGAGAGCTAAGACTGGACATTTAACTGTTAGAAAAAGAGGCTGAAGCAGTATTAACGGGGAACAAAGAATAAGCATTAGACAAGGTTCCGCGTGGTAGACTGTTTAGTACAGTTAGACCACATGGGATCCAGGTGGAGTTAGCCAATTGGAAACAAAATTAGCTTGAAGGTAGGAGACAGTGGATGGTAGTAGAGGGTTCCTTTTCACACTGGAGGCCTGTGACCAGTGGTGTGCCACAAGGATCGCTGCTGGGCCCACTGCTTTCTGTCATTATTTAAACATTTGAATGTGAATATACAAGGTACAGTTAGTAAGTTACCCGATGACACCAAAATAGGCGGGGTAGTGAACAGCAAAGGAGATTACCTCAGAGGACCTTGATCCGATGGGCCAATGGGCTGAGGAGTGGCTGATGGAGTTTAACTTAGATAAATGTGAGGTGTTGCATTTTTGGTAAGGCAAGTCAAGGCAGGATTTATACCCTTCCTGGTAGGGACTTGGGGTGTGTTGCCAAACAAAGAGACCTAGGGGTGCAGAGGCACCCTTTGAAAGCAGAGTCGCAGGTAGATAGGGTAGTGAGGAAGTCATCTAGCACACTTGCTTTCATTGGCCAGAACATCGAGTATAAGAGTTGGGAGGTCATATTACTGCTGTACAGGATATTGGTTAGGCCACTTTTAGAATATTGCGTTCAATTCTGGTTGCCCTTCTATAAGAAAGATGTTGTTAAACTTGAGAGGGTGCAGAAAAGATTTACAAGGATGTTGCAGGGACGAGAGATTTTGAGTTAGTGAGGGGCTGAATAGCTGTGGCTTAGAGGTTTCAACATCATGAGGGGCATGAACAAGGTGAATAGCCAAGATCTTTTTCCTAGGCTGGGTAAGTACAAAACTAGAAGGCATAGGTTTAAGGTGAGAGGGGAAAGATACAAAAAGGACCTGATGGGTAACTTTTCATGCAGAGGGTGGTGTGTTTGTGGAATGATCTACCAGAGGAAGTGGTTGAAGCTGGTACAATTACAACATTAAAAAGGCATCTGGGTGGGTTTATGAACAGAAAGGGTTAGAGGGATATGGGCCAAATTATGGCAAATGGGACTAAGTCAGATTGGAATGTCTGATCAGCACTGACGAGTTGGACGGTAGGGTTGTTTCCGTGCTGTATGATTCTATAACTGAATAGTACTTTGCATCAGTGGAAAATGCTAGCAGCATACCAGAATTTCAGGAGACTCCGGGTGCAGATGTGAATATAGTGGCTATCACTGAAGAGAAGATGCTGGGGAAGCTTAAAGATCTGAAGATGGATAAATCATCCAGACCAGATGGACTACACCCCAGAGTTCTGAAGGAGATAACTCAGGAGCTTGTAGATGCATTGGTGGTGATCTTTGAGGAATCATTTGAGTCAGGAACTGTGCCAGAGGACTAGAAAATCGCTAATGTAACACTGTTGTTAAGAAGGGAGGGAGGCAGAACACTAGAAACTATAGGCCAGTTAGCCTGACCTTGGTTGTTTGTAAGATTTTAAAGTCCATTACGAAGGATGAAATTGCGGAGTCAGCACAGCTTATCAAGGGAAGGTAATGCCTGATGATAAATCTGTTAGAATCTCTTGAGGAGCTAACGGTCAGGTTAGACAAAGTTAGCCAGTGGACATGATCTATTTGGATTTCCAGAAGGTCTTTGACAAGGTGCCACACAGGAGGCCGCCAAATAAGATAAGAGGCCATGGGTGTTACGGTTACGGTACTGGCATGGATACAGGATTGGCTGACTGGCAGAAGGCAGACGGTAGGGGGAAAATGTGGTCTTTTTCAGGATGGCAGCCAGTAACTAGTGGAGATTTACAGGGGTCTGTATTGGGACTGCAACTATTCGTGTTGTATATTAACAATTTGGATGAAGCTACGAGGGCGTTTTTGCTAAGTTTTCAGGTGATAGGTGGAGGGGTAGTAATGAGGAAGTGGGGAGGCTGCAGAAGGACATGGACAGACTGGAAGAGAGGCAAAGGAGCGGCACATTGAATACAAGATCAGGTTATACATGTTGGCAGGAAGAATAGAGGCATAGACCATTTCTAAATGGGGAAAGTCTTCGGAAGTCTGAAGTACAAAGATTTGGGAGTCCTAGTTCAGGATTCTCTTAAGGTTAACAAGCGGATTAATTTGGCAGTTAGGAAGGCAGGTGCAATGTTTGAATTCATTTCAAGTGAACTAGAATTCAAGAGCAGAAATATACAGCCTCAGCAGTACAAGACTCTGGTCAGACAGCATTTGGAATATTGTGAGCAGTTTTGGCCCTGTCTCTAAGGATGTGCTAGCCTCCAAAGGAGGTTTACAAGAATGATCCCTAGGAGGAGAGGCATGTTGTGTGACAAGTGGTTGAGGACTCTAGGTCAATATTCAATGAATTTAGAAGGATTGGTGGGGAGGTCTCGTTGAAACTCGCAGAATACTGAGAGGCCTGGATCAAGTGATGTGAAGATAATGTTTCCACTAGTGGGAGAGGCTAAGACCTGAGGACACAGTCTCAATATGAAGGGCAGCCCTTTAGAACTGAGATGAGGAAGAACTTCTTGAGTCAGAGGGTTGTTAATCTGTGAACCTCATTGCTGCAGAGGGCCGTGGAGACCAAGTCATTAAGTGTATTTAAGATAGGTTCTTGATTAGTGAGAGGATCAAGGGTTACAAGGAGAAGGCTGGAGATTGCAGTTGAGAAACATCAGCCAAGATTGAATGACAGAGCAGATTTGATGGGCTGAATGGCCTAATTCTGCTCCTATGTCTCATGGCCTAAATTATTATAAACCAGGAAATGCTCAGTTCTTTTGAACTTCAGTGCTTCTGCAGGACGCTTGGAATGAAATGGATAAAAAGAGGTACAACCAAATGAGTATTTGCATCAGGTCAGAGTTGATTAGACAGATTTATTAGTGGTGGACAGACTGAAGTTGAAATACTTCGATTTGTTACGAAACAATAGTTTATGAAAGATGATGTTGGAAGGAAAACTAGAGGAAAAGCCTAGTGTACATAGGCAGAAAACTGGATGGTGTGATAACATCCTTGAACTAAATAGCTTGGGTTTTATGAGAAAACGGAGAATGACAAACGATCAATACATTTCAGGGGACGGGGCATGTGTTTTCCCCCCAAAAACCTATCTGCACCACCACAGAATCTTAAAATGTGTATCCTAATAAGGATTAAAAATAGTTCAATCAAAATAATACCAAAGGAGAATGAACTGTACAATCAGTTGGGTTTTTAAAGTTATCTTTTGTGGTCTGTCAGAAAAATGCATTGTAATATATATTCTAGATATGACTCCTACAGTTGAATGTTTTGGATAGGACTCTGAATAATGCTATGGACTTTAACCCGCTTGAGGAAAAGCTTCTGCTCTGCTTGGCAACAGTGGGTAATGTTGTTAACTGGTCTTCCTTCCCTTCCCTCAGCCACTGGGTGCAGTCCTCTCAACTGTGAATACCTGAGTGATACAATTATGTTACATGTTCCAAGAAATATATTAATGATGCCTGGAGTTCAAAGCAATGGATAATCTGGAAACCTATTCTATCCAAATATCCCTGTTCACACGCAAACAGAAATTCCTGGAAAAGTTCAGCAGGTTTAGCAGCATATGTGGAGACAGATCAGAGTTTAAAGTTTCAGGTCTAGTGACCCATCCTCAGATCTTGTTCACACATTTGGCATGGACAGGATATGATCTCACATTAAAAGCAAGACAATGCAATTGCAAATCCGAAATGAAAACAGTTACTCCGGTCAACAGCATCTGTTGAGAAAGAAAGAATTAAATTCTTGACTCTGATTATGAATCTTCAAGAATCATTGGAACACAAAATGCTAACACTTTTTCTCTTTTCAGAGATCCTGCTAGAAGTACTGAATTTTTTTTCAGCACTTTGCCAGTTTGTGACCAAATCCTGGATAAAAGCTATGATTCTTTTCTGTTCTGAAGTTTTGAATTATGAAAGGTTGTCATAGGGCAATGATACAGGCCAGTGAAGGCTCATTACTGTTGATCAATGAGTTGGAATTAATATAATGAAACTTTTTTACTCGAGCTTTCCAGAATCTTTCCACGTAACCTCATTAGATGACTTTCCTCTGCAGGTGGCAGGTACAACGTGGAGTAGTAGCCATTCCAAAGAGTGTCAATCCAGCACGAATTGCACAAAATCTACAGGTAACATGGCTGTTTCACAAATGTTAAAATTAACTCAATGCTAGTTGTAGAAACAGTCAGAAATAAAGATTGTGTTCATAGTATGTGCATTGGTTCTGATCTTGTAATGAAAAGGTAGTTGCGAATGAGGAAAGCCATTTCACCTGCATTAGGATCACTGCACAGCTAAATTAATATCCACACCCCCTTTTAATATCCAGTTGGTTTTTTGAATGAATGATTTCCACAGGTTACTGAATGAAGTGTAACCAATCTTTCATTAATCCAAATCACTGATACTGTGTAATGGTCACATGACTTTTCTCTTCACTATCAACAGTGCTTACATGTCTGTCTTTACCACCAGAACTGGATACAGAATTATTATATTTGATTATCAGATTTTGAGCTACAAATTTTTACAGTTTCCCTCATATTGGTCCCATTGCTTACATCAGGTACATTGTTGTTATCACAGAATACTTATTAAATATACAGTAAAATATGAACCTAATATTCAAATTGCCCCAAATCATCAGTAAAGTATACCAGCTGTTATGATCCAAGACTAAACTGCCTTCTTTATGATCTGGTTAGAAACCATTGTTTCTTTAAAAAGTAGATAAAAGGTAAGATAGAGGGGAAAGGCCTCAATTTTACAGTTCAGACAGAAGTAAAATACTTTTTGATACATCAGAACAATAATGCCATCTACAATACATGTACAGCCGATTTCTAACACTGATTTAATGTGATAAACGTGCATAATATACTGTTATCCAACCCCTATTGCCCACATTAAACTAGCAAATGCATGCAAGACAAATTATGCATTTCTCAACGACTCCCCTCCCAGATGTGAATAATGTAGTGGGTCATCAAATCGATTTAAATTTGACAAGGGATGACAAATCTTCACTTTAGCTGGCCTAGTCTTGGAACTCCCCCTCAAGGTATTGCCATAGACTGCTGCAGTGACTTCTCCTATTCTGATTGTGTACAGTCCTTTCCTGGTCTCTGCTCACCTGGACTCTGATATTGTATTCTAGCACTCACTCTCAAGCATAATTCTGGCTTTTTTTCTAACCAAAAACTAGTTTCACCTAGCTGGATATGTGCCTGGGTTTTCCTTGAGCTCTAATCTTGCTCAACTGCTTATGGGTTTTTCAACCTCCTTACTCAGCTACACTGAAGTACACACAACTGATGTAACCAAATGAGAAAGAAGAATTCCAGGAAGGGGATAAGCCAACCATGATTAAAAAGGAAGTTGAGGATAGCATCAAATTAAAAGAAAAGTACAAGATGGCAAAGGTTAGTGGTAAGCCAGAGGATTGGGAAAGTTCTTAAAAACCTATCTAATTGAAAATAAACTTTGACTGTAAACTAGCAAGTAATATCACGATAGACAAGAAAAGTTTGTTTTAAAAATATAAAAAGGGAGCAAGGCCAAAGTAAACATGGACCCCTTTAAAGAATGAAATTGGGAAGATGATAGTGGAGAACCAGGAAATGGCAAAGGAGTTGAATAAATACTTTGTATTAGGCTTCATGGTATGAGACACTAATAGTATTCTAAAAATACCAAATAATCATGAGGCAAAAGGTGGGGAGGAAGTAAATGCAATAACTATCACTAGGGGGAAAAAATAATTGGGGTAACTAATGGCACATAAAGGCCAAAATATCCCCTGGATCTGATGGGTTGCATTCAAGGAAGTAGCAACAAAGATAGTGGATGCTTTAGTAGTAATTCTCATCAATCCTTAGATTCTGGAAAAGTCCCACAGCACTGGATGACTGAAAGTAGCTCCCTTATGCAAAAGCGAAATAAACAAAATGGATAACAATAGGCCAATTAGTTTAACACCTGTCACTGGGAAAATGTTAGGATCTAGAGCATTTAGAAATACCTAAAATCAAGTAGAGTTAGCATGGTTTCCTGGAGAAATCCTGCTTGACAAATGTCAGTTTATCGTTGTAGAAGTAACAAACAAGATAGATAAATGGGGACCTTGGATGCAATATGTTTGGATTATATGCATTAGGCTACTTTTAATAAGACAAGAATTGTTGGAAATAGTATATTAGCATGGTTTAAGGTTTGAATTACTAATGGAAGACAGGCAGTTGGGATAAAGGGAAATTTTCAGAATGGCAACCTGTAACTAATGAAGAAAGATAGGGATCAGTGCTGGAGGCACTATTATATTAATGACTTTGAAGGAAGTGAATGTACCAAAGCCAAGTTTGCGGATGACAAAAATAGGTGGGAAGTTGATTGGGAAGGATGATGGATTCTACATAAGATTATAATTAAGTCAAGTGAGTGGGCAAAAACTTGGCAGATAGAATATGATGTTGGAAAGATGTGAAGTTATGCGTGTTAGCAGGGCAAACTGAATATTTAAATAGAGAAAGATAGCAAAAAGCTGCAGCATAAAGAGCTTTGGGAGTCTTGTATAAATCACGAAAAGCAAGCAGAAGTTCAGATAAAAAGGAAGGCAAATAGATTATAGACTTTTTTTAAAATAAGGAAAGTATGAAATGGAACCAATGAGGGAGCAAGATCTGGTCCTGTGTAATGAGACAGTAATGAGATCTCATAATTAGCGATCTTCTTGGAAGGAGCGATCACAGTATGGCTGAATTTACAGTACAGATACAAAGTGAGAAGATAAAATCCAATACCAGGGTGTTGTGCTTAAACAAAGGAGATTACAATAGGATGAGGGAGGAGTTAGCTAAAGTAGACTGGAAGCAAAGACTTTATGGTGGGACAGTGGAGGACTTTCAAAGCAGTTTTTCAAAGTGCTCAGCAAAAGTATATATACCGGTGAAAAGGAAGGACTGTCGGAAAAGGGGTAATCAGCCATGGATGTCTAAGGAGATGAGGGAGGCTTTCAAATTGAAAGATAAGACATACGAAGTTGCAAACACCAGTGGAAACTAGAAGATTGGGAAAACTAAACATCAACTGAAAGCCACAAAAAAAGCAGTTTTAAAAAAAAAACTAAGATTACAAGAGTAAACTAGCTCAGAATATAAAGACCAATAGCAAAGGTTTCTACAAATATATAAAATGAAAAAGAGTGGCTAAGGTAAACATTGGTCCTTTAGAGGATGAAAAGGGGTTTTAATAATGGGAAATGAAATAGCTGAGGATTTGAACAGGCATTTTTTGTGTTGGTCTTCACAGTGGAGGACATGAGTAACATGCCAGTAATTGATGATAAGGAGACTAAGGTAGTTGAGGACCCATCATCATGAAAGAGGTAGTATTGGGCAAGCTAATGGAGCTAAAGGTAGACCAGCCTCCTGGTCCTGATGGAATGCATCCCAAGGTACTAAAAGATGGCAGGAGAAATAGCAAATGCACTCATGGTAATTTTCCAAAATTTGCTGGACTCTGGAGCAGTTCCAGCAGATTGGAAAACAGCAAATGTAATGCCAGTGTTTACAAAAGGTAAGTAGACAAAAGATGGCGAATTATAGGCTGATTAGCTTAACTTCTGTAGTGGGGAAAATGCTTTAATCTATCATCGAGGAAGAAATAGCAAGACATCTAGATAGAAATTGTCCTATTGGGCAGATGCAGTGTGGGTTCATGAAAGGCAGGTCATGCTTAACTAACTTGCTGGAACTCTGAAGACATTATGAGCACGGTGGACAACGTGGTCCCAGTTGATGTGGTGTATCTGGATTTTGCACAAAAGGCTGCTACATAAGATAAAGGTGCACAGCGTTAAAGGCAATGTATTAGAATGGATTGAGGATTGATTAACCAACAGGAAGCAAAGATTGGGGATAAATGGAGATAGCAAGAACCGCAGATGCTGGAGTCAAAGTCAACCCATTGCAGAGCTGGAGGAACACAGCAGGCCAGGCGGCATCAGAGGAGTAGGAAAGTTGAGGTGTCTGGTCGGGACCCTTCTTCAAAGTGCTTTTCTGATTGGTGACTAGTGGTGTGCCTCGGATCAGTGTTGGGACCACAATTGTTTACAATTTACATAGCTGATATGGAGTTGAGGACCATGTGTCATGTGTCAAAGTTTGCAGATGACACTAAGATGAGTGGTAGAGCAAAGTGTGCAGAAGACTCAAAGTTTGCAGAGGGATTATAGATAGTTTAAGTGAGTAAGCAAAGATCTGGCAGACAGTACAATATCGATAAATGTAAAGTTGTCCATTTTGGTGGGAATAACAGTAAAAAGGACTATTATTTGAACAGTTAAAAAAATTGCAGCATGCTGCAGTGCAGAGGGACCTATATGTCCTCGTGCATGAATTGCAGAAGGTTGGTTTGCAGGTACAACAGGTAATTAAGAAGGCAAATGGAATTTTGTCCTTCATTGCTAGAAGGATTGAGTTTAAATGCAAGGAGGCTGTGTTGCAGCTGTATAGGGTGCTGGTGAGACCACACCTGAGTACTGTGAGCAGTTTTGGTCTGCTTACTTGAGAAAGGATATACTGGCACTGGAGGAGATTCACTAGATTGACTCTGACTCTGGAGTTGAGAGGGTTGGCTTATGAGGAGAGACGGAGTAGACTAGGATTGCATTCATTGGAATTTAGAAGAATGTTGCGGGGGGGGGATCTTATAGAAACATATGAAATTATGAAGAGAATAGATAAGATAAAAGCAGGGAGGTTGTTTCTACATGCGGGTGAAACTAGAAGAGGGCATAGCTTCAAAATTAGGGGGAGCAGGTTTAGGACTGAAGTGAGGAGGAACTTCTCTACCCAAAGGGTTGTGAATCTTTTTTGGAATTCCCTGCTCAGTGAAGTAGTTGAGGCTTCCTCATTGAATGTTTTTAAATCTAGGATAAATAATTTTTTGAACAGTAAAGGAATTAAGGGTTATGGTGAGAGGGTGGGTAGGTGGAGCTGAGGCACGAACTTACTGAATGGCAGAGTAGATTTGAAGGGCCAGATGGCCTACTCCTGCTCCTGGTTCTTACATTTGTATGTAAAGAGAATGGAATATAAAAGTTGGGAAGTCTTGCTAAAACTATTCAAGG